CTTTTGCTTTGAAGATCAAATCGATTTTTATTAGCTTTACTATGAAGAGTTGTTACTAAGGTTTGAAAAAATATTGTAAGCTCAATGCATATGAGCAATTTTTGTCCTCTAAAATACTATATGAAAAATAAAGCATCTGAAGCTCTGCTACTTGAACCTTTTGATCCATAGAATTACCGAACTAATGTACGTTTCATTATTTTTATTGCCGAGAATTCAAAGAAACTTTGTGATTAATTAGCAAAACTCGTTCTCATTTTTTTGAGGTGCGCTGCGATATAGCACGCGCAGGTCTTTCACTCAGCGAGTGGAATATATACAAGAGTTTTATTACCAACCGCAAACGAAAATTTTGCAGACGCGCTAACGAACTAGCGAGAAATCTTCGTCAATTATTTCCCTAGTTTTTTTCTGATGCTTTGAATTTATGTACTTTTATACGTATCACGTAAAGAAATTAGTGTACGTATCAAGTAAAGAAATTGCAAAAGGCGAAAAATAAATTGAACCATATAAAAAGTAAAGGCATACATGCAGACCAAGTGCTCGTGACATTGGTACGAAACCTTGTTAAAAATGATTAATTGAATTTAATCTATTAAATTTATTTGTTCAAAGAAAAATTTTTAGAATTTTTTTTTTATAAAATAATTTAAAAGAAAGTAGTACACTTTTTAAGGGAGGGGGGGTTAGTACACATGAATTTTTAGAAAAGTAAAAAACTATAGCATAAGTTGAAGTTGAGTCTTAATAAAAAAGACTATTTGCCCAAGTCGGAAATCTTTTTTTTTTCTTAATCATGAGCTTGAAATTACTGAAAAGGTTGAGTTTTTTAGGTGAGAAAATTGTACATTAAATTGTAGACTTCGTTTCGATGATATACGTGTTTCAATTTTACCAGCTTGTTATCGTTATTTTGTAATAATCTTATATGCCGGTATTATAATACCATTATAATTTACTGCCAAGAATATTTGAAAATTAACTATGTAGAGCACTCAAAATTTATCTTTTCTGTAGCAAAAGTGCACCACATTTGAGTTTTTACTCGATTTTTCATTATAAAAGAGCATTTGACCCCAATGAAATTGAAACACTCTTTTTGTAACTTGATATTTTGAAAGAAACAATTAGCTCATATGAAGTTGTAAAATGTAAAAAATCACTTTTGCTGGAAGACCTGTAATTGAATTAACGGGTCTAAAGAACAAAGAGAAATGTGAACATGTATGTGAATAATGTCTTCGTCATTGTCGACGCTTTACACGTGCACTTTCTCTGACAAGTACATTATAAAAGAGCAATAAAGCATAAGAGAGCTGAAAACGGAGCTTAAATGAAAATGTGCATCGTGAGTGGTCACCAGTGCGTCGCCAGTGCATTTTTTTTATCTTTGATTATGCAACCATGAGCAGTCAAACCGACCTAGCTCAAGCAATTTTCAAATAATTAAATATGCAATCCCAAGTAACCCTAAGTAACCGAAAGAAACCTAAGAAACCCTATCGACCAAGCACCTGTCTTTAATATTAATTAAATATGCAAACCTAAGTAACCCAAGTAACTAAATTGCTCAAGATCGTGTGGTTTTTTATTCGTCAACGTGCAACAATAAGTAATCGAAGTGATCAGACACTTTCAAAATTTTTCGACTACAGATAAACTATAGTATGGAACCGAATATACTCAACTTGTGCCATTTTTTTTGATCTTCAAATGTGGAATTATAAAAAATTGGAAAAAATTCAATAGCTGGATCGCAATGATTACATGCTATAGTTTATCTAAAATAAAAACCCAAGAGTGTAAAAGTTTCTGTGGAAAATTCGCAATTTACACGATTCAAAAGTTTTTCAAGGGCAAATTACACTTTTTGAAAAATCGTCACGGAAAAAAAAGTGTAACAACTCAACATAGCAGAAAAGATGTATGAAGCATGGGCTACACTTTTTTTCGCACTCATTTCACATTTCCAAAACCGGTAGCTTGCGCATCTTACACATTTTCTGCAGTGACGATTTTTTTAAAAAGTATAATCTGCGCTTGAAACACGTTTGAAAAGTATGAACTGCGCTCCTCGCACTTCTTTCAGACAACAGTTTTCAAAAAGTATAATTTGCGCTCGACGTGCTTTTGAACAGTCAAAATTCAACTTGATCATTGATAATATACTTTTTCCCAAGATACAAAGTTGTGCAGTTCATACTGTGCACATCACACAACTCGCAATAGTTTTAGTCGTGATACCGCCCTTTATGCGTTTTTAAAATTATAAGGCTTTATTGCTGTACCTTGTGCAAAGGTTTCGGCTCAGAAACTGTCTCTGAATATTTTATTCCTTTCGTTATTAAGATCATTTTACGAACCACTAACGGTTATGCATACTTCTCTGCCAATATGCTAAGTACTCTTTTTATTTAATTTGATGCGTGAATGAACTGAAAATATCATAATTTCAAAGTGCATGCCAACCACATTAGAAGTTAACGCTTGTACTTACACGTGTAAATACTAGTTCTTATAGTATATAATGTTGGCGTATAACGGTGATTTCAGAAAAAAATGATATGACTGAGAAAAACACATGAGTTCCATATTTTTTTGGTCGATTTGCCTATGAATTTGACTTGAATATGATCATATAAGAATACTACGGGGGCTCCTGCTCGCTCCGCTCGCCAACCCACCGATTAAGTTTAACACTTGAATGAAAAAAATAATGATATTTTTAATAATCAAACTGTCAAGTTTTTTATTGATGAAAAATTAAAAAAAAAAGTAATCTGTAGAAAAATGAATTTTTGTATAAAAAATTTTTTAAAGCAGTTACAAAATATACGTTATTGTTATGAATTTAACTACACTCGGGAACAAAAAATTTCATCGAGTTATTAGCGATTAAAAATGAGAAAAATGCTAATTTCGTGATTTTCCATCGCGTGTAATAACATGAAAAACAATATTTTCGATAATGTCAACGCTTTTTATTATTCTTCAGACATCTCTATACAAAGTCTCGTAGTTTTTTTGAGCATTCATTCTCGAATTTTGACCCTAAATTATTTGAAGAAGTTCTGCGGATTTACGTATAAATAAACAGCACGAGCTGGTTGATTTGATTTTATGGGGTTACTTGCGTTTGCATTTATCTAATTATTCAAAAAGTGTACGAGCTTGATCAATTTAGTTACTTGGGTTCCTTGGAGTTAGACATTTGATCATTAAAGCTGTTCTAGCTGGATCGATTTGGATACTCAGGTTATACAGGGTTACTTGGGTTTAAATATTTAATTATTAAAACTACACAATCTGGATCCATTTGGTTACTTGAGGTTACTTGGGTTTGCAAATTTTTTTTAAAAATGCACGAGCCAGGTCGATTTAGTTACTTACGTTTGCAGATTCGAAACTCGAAAAATATTTTTAACTGGGTTGGTTTGGTTACTACTGGCATTTATCTTAGTGATTATTTTTGGTGTTACGTTTGTAACTTATAAAAAAAAATTTTTAAGATCGCCCCCCCTAAACTTCGGTTCTGGATCCGCCCCTGGAGTGGTGGCTTCTAGCATTGCGCTTAGTGTATGTGCTTTAACCACTACCGGTATCACGCTCTGAAATACAATTTGCACCCAAAAGGGCGAACCAGAGAAAACATTCACACAGAAACATTGAAACGCCAAATATTATCTACACTTAAATCATAATTTGACGTTTGTACTACTAGAATTACTTTATGTAAAATTCGCATTGCCATATTTAATAATTGATTGTGGTTGATTTAATAATCATGTAACATCATTTATTTTCCCTTGAATGGCCAAACCCATCATTTAAATAAAAACAAAATATGAGACTTTACTATAATTTTTTATGTTGACCTACATTAAATTGGTTTCTGCGAATAATAAATTTGAATAAAAAATTAGGAAAAAATAAATCCAAGCTTAGAAGAATGTGATGATAAACATTGCAAATGTGAGCATACTTTCGATACAAAATATGCGAATCTTGACATCTCTATATTATATTACAATGTAGGTAACAGCGAGGTGCAAAAATATGGAAAAAATTTTACCTTGAAATTGACGAGACTGAGTTTTCCACGAGTTCGCACACACAAACACACACACTTAGTTAGTAAATAATTTTTCAGAGCGGAGGGTAAAATAAAGAGATTAAAAAAAAATGTATACGTAGGATAAGAAGAGAGCAGTACTTTATCATTTCTTACAAAATAACGTGCAAAAAATAAAGGGTTTCCAATAAGTGACTGGACTCATAATCTATTGTTTGTAGTATGTAGAATCTTTTAACAATTCTTTAAAAAAAATTTTTTTTTTTGACTTGTAACATTACTAGACGAAAGAATATTGAACACAAATTTAAGTCAATTGTAAGGTTTCTTTTGACAATTTAAAATAAAACAATTGTACTTAAACTATAGACTTTTAAATAAAAAACAATATTTCAACACGACAGTATAAACATAAGCACTATAAAAATCAAAACATCAAAACATTGAAAGTTGCAACAACATTCAAAGTCCTGATTTTTACGGTCGGGATGATTCATTGACACGCAAGTTCTGAGCGAAATTAACTGTCTTCAAAGGTTTTTTTGGTGCAAAATAAATTTCACGAAGTTTTAATGCGGGAACACAATTAAAGAAGGTAATACCGCAAAGATGGCCATTCGGCAGTACACATTATGAATAATAATAATTTATGATATTATTTTTGAATCGCACCTGGTATTTGTATTACCTGGTACTTTTGAATGATTTATGAAAATAATACTGTGCTTTTAAAATTTACTTTTAACAGACTACAAAATAACTGACTGTGTTCATAAATACTGTTTATTTTAATTTGTGTACTAATGTCGAATTTAACATTACAATATAGAGTTTATATAACTATAATTCGAAAGAGAACGTTTCAAACATATTTTACTTTCTTTCAAGTTATTAAAAATAATACAAAAATATTTATAATCTACAGAGACTTGAAAATGGAAAACGTCATGTTATTCGATAAAAGAAAGGAGCTAATCAAAATTGTAGGTATGTGTTCTAAATCTAATTATTTGTTAAAAATATTACAATGGATTTTTATTTTATAGATTTTGGATTAAGTAATATTTATAATGATGAAAACCCTATGAAAACTCAATGTGGATCTCCTGAATACGCAGCTCCAGAGCTGTTCGTCAAAAACTACAAGTATGGTCCAGAAGTCGACTTATGGAGCTTGTAAGTTATATTTAATATCGGCGTCTACATGGAGATAGTGTATCAATAATTTTAACGAGACTTTTTTCACGATTAGTGATTAAGTAAACATAAAAATTTTATCCAAAAAATTTCGCTTTTAATTTTTTTAATTTAGAGGAGTTATCCTGTATGTGGTATGTTCAGGCAGATTACCATTTTTATGTCCGAAAGATAGACAAGTAACGCTGGAAGAACGGCGCAGACGGCTCTTGGCACAAATCAATCATGGCCTCGGTCCGCATCAAGAACGGGCGATCATTGCTTTATCTTCCGAATATAAACATTTAGTGAGCAGACTTCTCACGCCTGCGACTAACAAACGCATGGGCTTGACGGAGTTGTGCCAACATCCTTGGATAGCCGGATGTAAATTTTTTAAAAATGACTCTAGCCAGAAAAAATTTAATCAGTTAAACAAAGATCATCATACGGTAATTTGATTTTTTCATTATTTTTATTTGAATTACATTGTGAATATGGTTTTTTTCTTTAACTATAGGTTATAGAAGAAATCATGGGTATCGCTAATTTGAATCGTGATGCAATCGAATTTAATATTGCGAATAAACGGTACGGAAAAGTTGGTGGTATGTACAATATTTTGTAAGTAATTCACATATTATCAAATCTAAAAGCGATACTAAATAAAATATTTAATGAAATTCTTGAGTCAAAACAGAATTCACAAAATTGAGAGTGATTGTAGATTAAAAGAACAGCAAAGTTTACTTAATACGTGTTTAAAGCGAGCCTATAATCAAACGAACTCGAATGTTATTAGGTATTGATAGTAATTTACCATGCTGGGACCATAAGCATTACTTGATGGCATGGTGTAGCTTAGGGCCGCAGCGAAGCGAGCTTAGAAAAATTGTAAAACACCATTGTCATAAAGTGTTACCTTTGGCCCTCGCATGGTATATTATTCGTATTTTCAAAATTACTAAAAAGTTACAATAATTTTTTACATCATGTTTTTTATTTTCATATAGAAATAAATTCGTTCAATCAAAATTGAACAATATAGTGACGGAAAAATTTACAAGAAAAGCTGAAATTAGCAATGACCCCGAAGTTAAAACTGATAATACGACTAAAAATGAAGTTAATAAAGCATTCAATAAAACGATTCCACTAAAAACACAACCATGCGCTAATACAACCAGGGTGTTTATAAGAAGAAAGAATAAAATCACCAAGTACATTGATAAAGTTAAGAAGCGCATTTTTTTAATAATTATATAATAAAAATTTTTGTTTAAGCTTCCAACCTACTGAGAACAAACCAATGACCCAACCGTGTCCAAAAAAAAGTTTAATTTGTGCACCTTACATGTCAAATAAATCTTTTCGATCTCAGAAACAGCCACATCTGGCAAATAACAGTAGAGAAAAACCTACAATAACTGAAGAGAGAACAAATGTATATAAAATTTTTGACTATTATTTTATGACAGAAAATAACTGTCGGTTAATCTGGTACATGTTATACATGACATCTAAGGGAACTGCGATTAGCTATCTACTGACATCATCAATTTTAGAAATCTCTCGATATTGAGTTCACTTATTTAACACCTTATGATTTACAGAAAGGCTCTCTACGAAAATCACGACTGACCAATAGCGCCAGCAGCCCTATAAAGACTTCATTTTGGCAATCGCAAGCTATGGACTGCTGTCGTAATGATGTTCAATCAACGATTACATATAGACTTATTGGAGACAAATATAATATGGATCCCGCGAAGAGGAAAGAGCAGTGCAATAATGTTTTGAAAAAATCTAAATTTTCTAATACGAAAGAAGTTCATACGAAAAATCTTTACAACTGTAAAAACTCACCGAATATCTTCAGTGGCTTAGAAAAAGTATGCCACTTTTAATACAGTGGTCTAAAGGGTTTTAGTAGCTAATGGAGTAACAAGGTCTTATCTATATTTTTTTTCATGTATATTTAATGAAAAATGTTCAAAAAAGTCCACCTAACGTATTTTCAATGAGGGGATCAAAATACATTGAAAAAACCAGGGTGACACTTTGTTACTCTATTGGCTACGAAAATCTTCTTAGTCTCCGAATTTTTCTAATATATAATTTCTTATTTTATTATAATACAAAACATTTCTTATCATTTCAGATGAAGCATAAAAATAAAATTTCATGCCTAGGAAGTCATACTTCTGAAGTTCAAACATATCGAGACGTAAAGATTCATCATTTACATACAAAATTAAAATTTTGTGAATCTTTTAAAAAGCATACGTCTTCATTGAGAATTGACAATAAAACAGGTTGATTTTATTATAATTTAATTTCTCTTCAATTGCATGAATCAGAGAATATGCATAAACGATTTAACGATAGATAAGTAGAACGAATCAACTGTTTGTCTGACAATACAATCGCAACGCCTTCCACTTTTTAAAAAGGATGCGAATATCGAGAGAACTATTTACCACTATGGTTATATCAAGAAGAAGTTCCATTTATTTCACGATAAAACAGAATCGGCTTGTTAAAACTGAAGTAACAGCAATAGCAACGACGGGACTCAATCGATGTTATCGATGATAATGAAGTTTACTGTCATACCTACGCTGGAGCTATAATACAGTAACTACAGATGTCACTGAAATTCTTCGTTTCCTGTGAACTTGACTGTGGCTATGCATTATATTACTAAAAAGGCATAAAAATTAGCAAAAAATTTTGTGAAATGCTATAATTCAGAAATCATGCGAAAATCGATTTTTGAAATAGCACCTGCCAAGCCTAAAAAAAGTCTTTACATAAAATATAATTATAAATTAAAAGTATCTTTCACAAGTTTAGTCAAGTGCAATTTTAAAGATTACAGAGATCCAATTTCAACACCTCTAATTTGTTGGATTATATAGTCCAGACCTTTCACTTTCAATATGGTAGGCATTAAAACACATCTAACAAGGAGAGATGAGATACGGGTCACTAAATGTCCTGAAAATTTTTTTGTGGTCTCATGGTACTTATTAATTAATGAAACCCCCTATGCTTAGTTTGATCCAATGGGCCTTCGGGCCAATTTTAAAAATCATTTTCTACTTTATTCAAAAATCTTTATGATTTTCTAACTCGCAACAGGACGTCTCAAACGAAAAATTGCATAATGTACAAGTCTTTAGTCAAGTAATACATCTGAATTTTTTCAAAATTTTTGAGACCTGCTGCTATCACCTATTTTTAAAGGCCTAAATTTGACGCGTTTTTGCGTTTTTCTTAAAAATATCAGAGGCTTTTGAAAATAGGTGATAGCAGGTCTCAAAAATTCTGAAAAAAAATTCAGACGTATTCTTTGACTTCTACATTCTACGAATTCTAAGACTTCTACATTTTGCAATTTTTCGTTCAAAACATCCTATTGCGAGTTAAAAAATCACAAATATTTCTTAATAAATTAGGAAATGATTTTTAAAATGGTCCCTAAGGCCCATTGGAGGAAACTAAGCATAGGGGGTTTCATTATGAAGTACCAGGAGACCACAAAAAAATTTTCAGGACATTTGGTGACCCGCATCTCATATGGTCTCCTTGTAAGTAAAACTAATTAATTCCGTACATATTTTTATTTTATGAAATTTTCATATGTTAAGCATTTTAATTAAAAAATATAAAGCGTATCTTGTGATGGCATTAATCAATTTCCAGTTTAAATCTCTCAAGATTTTAACACTAACAAGGAGACAAGGAGACCTTCTCACCTCCGGGTCACGGAACTTTACCAAAATTTTTTGGGGTTTCCAGGAACCCAATAATAAAGCTCCCTATGCTTTGTTTTATTGAATGGGTATTAGGGCCCATATTAAAAGGGGTTTTCTCTTTTATTTAAAAATCGTCGATATTTTCTATTGCAAGATAGGAGCACTTAAAAAAATCCATCGATCAAAATTTTTGAAATTTTTCAAAGAATTTGTCTGAATTTTTCCAGAATTTTTTGAATCGTTCATTACCCTTTTTTAGAGGTTTCTAAATTTTGCAAGAAAAGCATCAAGTTAGGGTCTCTGAAAATGGGTAGTGGACGAATCGAAAAATTCTGAAAAAATTCAGACAGATTCTTTGAAAAACTTCTAAACTTTTGATCGGTGCATTTTTTGTTTAAGTGCTCTTACCTTGATATAGAAAATCTCAAAGATTTTTAAATGAAAGGGAAAACCCCTTTTAAAATTAATCCTAAGGCTCATTCAATAAAACTAAGCATATGGAGCTTTATTATTTAGTTCCTGAAGACCCAAAAAATTTTTGGTAAAGATCCGTGACCCGATGGTGAGAAGGTCTCCTTGTAAGTCAAAATGAAATAACTTAAATTTAAACTAATCAAGAATTGTTTTTTTATTTCAGGTAGGAGTTTACTTTTTTGGACCGAAAAGTTTCATAATTTTCATCGTTTTTATTCACGAAATTGTTGAAATTATTCGGTATTTTTTCCGAAATTTTCCTATTACTGTGCCTGAACTATTTACTAGTGGCAACATTTGTTGCTAAAGATGAGCGAAATATAACTATTTATTAATCACTGTATGTTGAATAATAAAAAAATATGTTATCCTCGCATTTCGGATTAACTGCGATTTTTTTTCAAATTAATCAAATGATCTTTTATCTAGGAAAAATCACAGTTAATCCGGAATATGAGGATAACATATTTTTTCCAGTATTCAACATACAGTGATCAATAACATCACAACATCAACAACATAGGTACACCTACTCTATACAAATTTTTGATTTTTTATACAAATATTTTGATCCTAGACGGAGAGGTCCAAAAAGGACGATAAAAAATCTTGCTCGCTTGGCTAACTATTAATCTTTGGACGGGCAAGTCAAAAATTAAAAACTCAAATAGTTATAAAAAATGGAGATATTACACACTTACAAATCAATCTCAATTAATTAAAAAACACGATTAAATACAAAATGACGAGCTATTGTTTCAAATGTATCAAAAATAACCCCTTACTCCGTCAACTATCTTTTTCCAAAATTTCATATTTTTCGGGTTGATTTAAATTAATTTTTATATAAACGTGTTTATAAGTAGAACGAAAAGAGACTCACTTTAATTGGTCCTAACAAAGTAATTTCTGAAAGTTTGCAACACTTATTGCTTCATACAATTTTAGGAGCTTATTATTGAAGTTCTAAACTTTTCAAAAATATAAAAAAATCATTTTCTTAAAAACGGTGATTTCCATACGTGATTCTGAACACAAATTTTGCCTAATCTTGATCTTTGAGGTTTCAAAATTATTATAATGACATTATTTTCCATTCAAATGGAGAATATTTTCGTCAAAACAATTAATTTACTCATCCGTTTTTAAAATATGTTCATGTGTGTTGGAAAAAATTTAATTTTTGCCACTTTTGCGTGTTTTATTAATGTGTGAAAAAATGATTCTAAAACTTTCTTGGAATTGAAATTCATATAGTTAAAAGTGTGTTCCGTTGAAAACCTTTTAAAATTCTAAAAATCATCAAGATTAGTTAAAAATTGTGGTTAAAATTTCGCGAAAAATCGCTAATAGAATTGTAAACAATAATCGAAAGGCTCTGAAATAATTTTAATATTCAAATCTAATTAACGAGTATTTACTAGTTTAAAAAGACTTGAAAAAACAAAATTTTAGCTTTTCTGAAAATCTGGTAGACAATTCAAATTTCATTGAAGTACAGGAAATTAGAGAGCGTGTAGCAAAGGCCAGCAACTTCGCAAAAATATGGCGTTTTCACGTAGCTTAAAAAATTTCCAAAAATATTTTTTTGTTAGTAAAAACTTAAATATTCAAGTCGATTTTATTCTACGTATTTCCTTTTCAACTTCAAATCATCACAACCTATCAAATGCCGGAAAATAACCAATCGATTCATATCTTTAGATTATTTTTACAACATTTAATTGTGAAAAAATCGAAAAGACGAAAACTCGCCGCTACGTGTGTGCCTCTGGCGCACGGAAAATAGTGCTGATTATTTCGTCATCTAGGAAAATACAATTTTCGAAATATTGCCTCCTCTTTCGATTGGTGCAGTTTAGTTTTATATCAGAACACATTGAAAACAATTTTCGGGGATTTTTAAAGTTATAAAGCTACAAAAAAACAAGAAAAAATCGTTCAATCCATGCCTTTGACTTTTTTTTAGCTGCTGGTCAGCGTTTAAAACTAGAAAAACGTAAGTTAGAAAACTAGAAAAAAACAAAAAAAAATCGTTCAATCCATGCCTTTGACGTTTTTTTAGCTGCTGGTAAGCGTTTCTAAGCGAGTAAAAGATATTTGAATCAAAAATTGCGTATTTACGTAGGTGGCAGGTCTTTGCTGAACGGGCTCATATTTTATTATGTTTCGGAAAATATGAAATATTCTAGTAAGTTTATTATTCGGAAAAATTGATAATTTTTAGTTATTGCAACTCATCACTCCTCTCTTGCATGAGTATATAACGTCTCCATTATATGAACTGTATATACTTGGTCTATACTAACTTGGTGACAATTCATTGATAGTGACACTTGTGTTGTAGCTATGCATTTTAGCGCCTAATGTTCACGAACAATTAAGGTGACCCCTCACTAAACCGTAGTGTTATATTTGTGCTTAAGCATAGCCTCTTGTAAAACTCGAGACACCTATTAAATAATAATTATTTAGAATATATTTAAAAACGTTTTTATTTCGATGATAAACTCGATTAACTCTTTATTTAACATTTTAACATTGGCTAAATTGAACTTTATAAACGACACCTGCAGAGACCTATAACAGTTCTGATAATTTTATTGAGTACTGTATTTATTTGAATTATCGTTTGCTATTAACGGATGAAAATCGAATTGGAATTTCACTTATGTTATTATCAAATCTTAAAATCCATGAATTAACCCGTTAACGCAGAGACGCACAGAATTTTTTTCTCTATTGTAGTCTGAAATTAAATCATCTTATCGGAGCGAGAAAAATATTTGAGTATTCATTTTTTATGTAAAATTTAATGTACTTTTTGAATATGGGTTTATGATTAACCTCTGATAAATATTAAAAAAGTTATAAACAATTTACTGCGAAAAAACACGATTTTGAAACTTGAAAAAAAACTTTGATTCAAATTTTTTTTATGAAAGAGACTTGAACTTTGGTCAATAATACCTAAAATTGTGGAATAATGACCTACAGTTTAAAGTACTGTAGGTAGGATTTTAATATTCAAAATGGTAGACTCCAAAAAATACACTTTTCTCAAGAAATTTACCAAAAAATGTTCCAAAAAATGTACTTTTTTGTTCGAAAACGATCAATATTAGAAAAAAAAGTTATTGAATATTCAAATCCCACCTACAGTACTTTAAACTGTAGGTCATTATTCCTCAATTTTAGGTATTATTGGCCACAGTTCAAGTCTCTTTCATAAAAAAAATTTGAATCAAAGTTTTTTTTCAAGATTCAAAATCGTATTTTTACGCAGTAAATTGTTTATAACTTTTTTAATATTAATCAGAGGTTAAGTATAAACACATATTGAAAAAGTACATTAAATTTTACATAGAAAATGAGTACTCAAAAATTTTTCTCGCTCCTATAAGATGATTTAATTGCAGACTACAACAGAGAGAAAAAAATTCTGTCCGTTTTGGCGTTAACGGGTTAAATACTTCGAGGTTTTTCTCAAGTTATCTTCGATATATTTTCTAACATTTATTAATATTTTTTTTTTAATAAATTAAAAACTACATTTTATTGATGATGAAGTATCATTAGCTCCGAATAGCACTTGATATTTGAAAAATAATCCTCTCTTCGTGTTCCTTTTTTTTTAATATCGTGCGTACGTGCGACATTCATTTATTTTTAGTTAAAAAATACACAGCTTCGTAGAACGTAAGAGAGTGAGTGGGAAGTTAGCAGAATGTTTTCTCGTTTTTGTCAGATTTGCGCAAGCCGATGGATATACTTTAATACTTTTGTTCCTTCTTATGTTAACCGCAGACTTGATGTTCCGTGTTGTGCATTTTCAATCGAAAGTAAATGCAACTCATTAGCTAGAAGTTATTAGCCATTTGCCACTCCGATGACAGCAACATTACAGAATGAGATAAATCGAGAGGCCGAGCTTTCGGGCTGAACGAGTTTTCAGAGAGTTTTACGAGTCACTAAAGGGTTTTCACGAGTGTTCTGGGCTTTCCATTATCTTAATCATCGTCCGTATGTTGCTTATGTAAGCTGCAGCAGCAGCTGCTGCCATGCTGGCCTGGTTTGGCGCCGGGCAGAGGCGACGCAACAGCTACCGATGGCTGCAGCAGCGTTGGCGGCTTTTGCAACTCGCACACGTACGTGTACGCATCGCTGGTTCACTGCAACGACGCACCCCATGAACATGTGTACGAGTGTGTGCGCGAAAACGCATCTACGCACGATATGCCGAGAGTGCGTATGTACGTGCGTACATATTGGGGGCGGCGAGTGTGTGCCTATGTGTGAGTCGGCGTAAAAGCTGCTGGGGTGGCGACAAAATGCGCAACGGCGGCCTAGCTGCCGCTGTCGTTCGACTCTCCGATGAAGCAGCGCGAAACTACCCTACAAAAGCACTCGTCGAACCGATCCATGTCTCAGTCCCATCCAACGGGCACCGCGAGAAATAAAATTGCGCTTTCGCATTCGCGCGGTATCGCCGATCAAGATCATCAAAGTCACAATTTCGAAAAAAATTAATTATAAAACGGACATTTATTAACAACACGTGATCGTCATCAGCAAAATTAATTTCATTTATAATTGGCTTGGATATTACGACTATACACAAGCGCACGTCTCAGCACGAAGTGAATGACAGGCCTGCTTGGTGGATAGTGATATATAGAAAAACGAATCGTGCAATTGATCGTTAATAGTGCGTGAGATGATAATTTCTCATACATTAATACAATTATTTTATGATATATTGTTTGGTAAATGAAGTAAACGCGTTTCTAAATAGTAACTTAAAATTCGTTAATTGACTTTTAAAAAAGAAGTCAAAATTATGAAAAATTTTATTTTTAAACAATAAGTAATTACTAAAATTATCTAGTGACCTATTCTAGATTCTTTTTTGCACATACATAATGTTAAGATATTTATTGTATGAATGAACATTTTTTCATTGTATGATTAAAAATTGATCAAAATTCGAAACATTATTGCACTTTTATAATCTGTATAGTTAATGAATTGGTAATAAATACCTTTGAATGAACATTAACAGAACAATAAAATCTATTTACAATAAAATTATTAAATACAGGAACGCAAAATCGTTTTGAGAAAAAGATGCAACAAAACCTTAGTAGAAATCAAATATTTTTTGGCACTAATACAACGCTTTTAGACTATTTGCTTGACCATTCACTTATTAATCCATTAATAGATTCATTCATTTGATAGTGTTCTAAAACGACAAATTTCTACTAATTAATATATTTTTATTTTTTATAATTTTAAATTTTAGAATTATGGATCAAATAGTTAATGAAAAGTTTTTTTGAAAACTGCAAACTATCAGCCCACAATATGAATAGCATCAAGTGTACTATAAAAAAGTTTTTTTTGCTAAAAAATGGGTTTTGCAGAAAAAAATTCTTTGTTGAAACTTCAATTATCTCTCTCTTTTTCTCTTTTAAAGCGTAAAAATATTGATATAAAAGGCATTATTGAATATTCACACTATAAAGGGGTCATTTGAAGTATTAATATTTTAGTACTTATGTTTTGATATCTTTTGGTAACAAATCTGATAAAAATCTGCAGGAAAGTTTCAAAAATTTAAAGTTTTCCTCTGACCTCGAGGTCCTCAAGATAAAAATGAAAATTGATTATACTATATTTTATTTTCAGAAGGCAACGTTAAATTTTGAATGAGCTGTAAAATAAATCGAATCATCTTTCACGTTCTATTTCTTTGTTATGTAATATTTTTGTTATAGGCTTAACTGTTACTTTTGAGAAAATTATTGCAAACATCTTTCGGGAATTTCATGAGTTTCTATACATTAATTTGTGTACACGGAGAAAATTGTTTATCAAAAATTGTTTTACTTTTTGTTAACCGATAAATATATTTGACTTAAAAAAACTATTACTATAAGGTTTTGCAAAAAAAAGGAAAAAAACAAAGCAATAATATTTAACATGTTACTTTAGTAACATCAATATTACTTATTAAATATTGTATCAAAATTGAGTAGTATTACAAGTTACTATCCAATTGCTACAACCCTAATATGTGAACGTCATAAAACATCTCTATTATACGTAATGCAATGAGCATCCTAGTAGACATCGACGGAAGTGCATGTGTCCTCTTCGAATCCATATACCACTCGAAATACATTAGCTTATCATTGTGTATAACAATGTATTTTTTATATTTTACAAAAAATTGAATTATTTATGAATTAATTAAATTGTATTTAGTTATCCTAGCTAGGTGTTTCCTTTTTTAATCAAATTTAGCTTTCGGACAAATAAAACAAATAAAATTTGCAAAATTCTCAACTGCGTAAGTATGATACGTCAGTCCGATGTATTAAAATATCAAAAATTAAAATAATAACAAATATAAGCATGAATGTGTCTTTTCAATGTTAAAATATTGATCAACTATGCGAAATAACATTACAAGAAATTAAAAATTTTACTGATGGTTTTTTCGTTGGAACAAATTTTGGATTTTTTTCAGTAATTTAACTAATTGTCAAGAAATACATTCACTAAATTTTTTATTCTGGTTTCAGAAAATAATGCGATTCAATCTACTTATTTACTATGCCTTTGTTGGCATAGTTTTGACAGCAACTATCCATTTTGGAAATTGTGGCAAACCACGAACAAAGCCGAGAGAGATTCGAGGATATCAACCGGACCAATTAATGACAGCAATCAGTTTTGGCAAGAGAGATTATTCGAATGATAATAAATTTGAGAAAATTTTCATGCTTCTTCTCCAAAATGATTCTTCTTATGATGGGTTCGTACAAGAATTTCTTTATTGTTGAGAGAGTTCAATAATATTTTCATAAGACTTTAATAGCTTACTTAATATCTTATTACATGATCTTCGTGTTACGGTGAAATTGAGTTTACATTATTAAAACTTAAAAAATATTTTTATTCATGTACAGCTTATTACTTAAAATTATTCAGTAATATGTGTGTATACTTATATTTCTTAAATTATAGTTAGCTAAATTTATTTCATTAAATTGAAATAAATCCATATTAAAATGAGTAGCGTACTATTTTCACGAATTTTTACGGAAATATTTTCATTTTGGATGGACAACTTTCTTGACATATGCGAGCAAGGTCGCACTTCCCTGCATTTAGCGAACATTCTGCATATGGCCTGAAAATTGCAACGTTTATTATAGTATGTTCGCGTAGGCAGGACTAATTAAAAGATATTATACCTTAGTGAGAATGTGTTGTTGTATACACAATAGTAATGAACTTACACTACTTGGACGTAGAAATGTCGAACTAACGCAATTTATGGATATGTATTTTAACTGAATATTTTTTTTCAAATTAGTTTTCGTAGGTGAAGATATTTTTTTAAACATAATCGAACAAATTTATTAATTCAATAAACACGCACGAAACAATTTAGTTCTCAACACTAAAATCGAGTTACGTCACTACAAAATTAAAGCGAATTGATATAACTACGAACTTTTCTTGCGTTAACAACATTTTTATAAAATATGATTTTTTTTAATAATTTCTCATACCAAGTGAGTTTTACTTTACAACAATAAAATAGAGTTTTGCAGCGACAAACTATATTATTGTAATGTAAGCAAAAATTTTTTGTATGGATTGTTATTCATGAAAATGCGTTTTTAAAAGTTCGTAGGATGAGTCGATAAGCTTCGTTAAATGTGCATGAGAGATTCAGGTGTACTATTACTTTTTTCAAATTCATTTCATCACTGTCATCGAGTAAAGTGCTTCTGACGTACATATAAAATAAAAATGAGCCTTATGGACTTAAGGGGGCTTACTTTTTTTAAACTTCCATTTAGGATGTACAAGTTGAAAATTTTTTTGAAGAGCAGGTATAATAGTCATTCCATTAGATACATAAAAATAATTAAATACATCATTTTAATTCTGAAGACCTTCAACGATTAGCATTTAAGCTTTTAAGCTTCCTGTTATAAGATACTGAGCCATCGCACGAGTCAATTTGGTTCCATGTAGTCTTACCTTGTTAGATGGATCTTTGTTCAAAAATGCAAACTCGGGCTAATCATACATAATATCGATTTTCACTACTTCTACGTACAATGAAGTAAAATTAATTTATTAAAAACGATCAGAAACTAATAATATACTAGCCCGACTTTCAGCGCGCTCTCTTCTTTCTTATTCCGTTTTGCCATTTTTCAATATTTGAAATAGAAAAATTAAATAAAGGTTATGTTATAAACTGTAAAAATACGCATTTCACCTCAGCGTCTCCTCGAGAAAATCAATCAAAATTAGTCTTCAGCCGTCCATAGGTTAATATTCCACTTTCTTAACTTACTATAACACTCGTATTTGCGCGCTACAAAACAAAAGCAAGCTACTGAACAACCAATCACAGTGCTTATAAACTGCTAACGCTAAAAACGTCGCCACGCTTTAAGGATAAATAAATAATAAAAATAATAATAATAGTATTTCACTTCGTCACATAGTAATTTTAGATATTATGCCTAACTTGAGGTTGTGTCTGAAGGCTAGTATCTTCCAACAGGTAATTTTTTAACTATAGTAGCGTATTCAATTAGTATATTTATCAAATCAAAATATGTAAAATACTTATTAGATAAATAAAATATTTGATGAAGATATTATGCCTTTTCTTCAAAAAAAATTAATTTCAATTTTATTAAAGATGAAAAAATGTGAGCTTCCTTTGAGCTTTCAATTAAAAAATTTTATTTTACGTTTTCAAATTAGCAGTATATTTTTTCTCGAGTTTCTTATAATATACTCGAAAAATTAAACTTTGAAGGGTTAAGCTAAGTGACATATTATTATTACTATTATGATAAAACATATAAATATGCAATGTTTTATATTTTTTCAGCTTTACTGTTCGTTGGCTTTTACGAGAAATGAAAAGAAATCCGGAAATGGCTAAGTGGGTTTTAAAGAAACTATCTGGAAACAACAGCGACAAGCAATCAATGAACGATTCAGCTGCAGATGAATTTGATTCCAAAAAACCGATGTCCTACTTTTAATTTTCAATTAATGAACACAAAATTATTCTTTCATTATTTCAATAAAAACCAAAAATTTTTAGATCATTAAACATTGTATCGATTTATATATACATTTAAACGATGAAATATTAGATATACCCTGGTAGAAATTATAAAAATTTTTTGTCCTTTTTACATAAATTGAAAATGTTTACGTCGCACGAATTAGGTAGTTAGTCGGTCATTTTCATTATATGAATGAAACACTTTAAGACTAGTTTACCAACAGTAAAATTATCAAAGTTAAAATGTTCAACAAATAGCCCGGTTATAGCTAAGCAATGTAATGAATTACAAGTTTAGAAAAATATTGGTAATTTTTACTCTTTTTACGAGTAATCGACAAATTCATCAGGTTATTTTGTTTTTTATTTATCTAAAACAACTTAATATTTGGGACAATTTCACGCGTATACTTTTTCAACATTTTTATTCGATATTCTCAAACCAATAAAATTTTTTTGATTTCTAACAGGGTGTGAAATAATTATTTTTGGCGATTAATAACAAAAAATGTACAACTCAGAAACTTAAAGTAATTTACATATTACTTATTCATAAGTTAAAAATATAAATTAAGTTAAAATGTCCAAAACGATGTTTTAAATGTTGTGTCTTTGTTCAGTGAAGTTGTATTCATTTCTTATCCAAATTACATTTTAAAGCATGAAAAGAAGTTAATATTTATTATAATAATATTAATATTAATTATAATAATAATNCAATCGTCACTGCTGTACCAATTAGTAAAAATTAAATACAAATTAAATACTAATTAATCTTAATAAAATAAAATGGTTGAGGAAAGAAAGTATGTTGTACTGTAAAGCAAAGAAGTTTTACATTAAAAATTGAATTTTTAAATTAACTGTGACTCAAACGGTCGACCCTGTTAGTTGGTGTATATTTTTATCTCGTGGATGGCATAAATCTTTAATAGCCTCTAATGTGACTCCAACATACTTCAACTCATGAATTTTTAATCATAAGAAAACAGTAGGTAAAATTTACATTTATTCTTAAAAAACTAGTCAATTTTGAAAGTTCCAAAAAAGAAATTTAAGAAAAATTCACGTTTACTTCTGAATGTTTTCAAATATTTCTCAATACATAAACTCTCTTTGCAAAGTAGATGGTTTATAGAGTAAAACATCGATGAACTTTTATATTGCTTCCCATATTACGCCCACCATTTCAAAACATACGGGCTTTAAATTTAAAAATCACATTTTAATTTTTTTAAAATAATAATTACACTGTAGTATAATACATAAACTGTAATAATAATTATTTTTCGCAAAACTAAGACCGTATCTTAAAAGATCACACTCGAAAACTTTGTAGAGTGCATTATTAAAAACAAAATATCAAGTTCATCTGTAATTAAAAATTTCATGCACAAAATTGATCTTTGCGCATTAATGAGTTAGAGCATTATTTTTGCACCAAAAATTGGTCAATAGATTTCAAATAGACTGCCTTTTATGGTAAATTATATAGATTATAATTCATCTTTTAATTAAAAGTTCATTGATGATAAAGAAAAAAAAAATTGCATATTTAATTTTACATGAACTTAATTTAAAATCGAAAATAAGGGTTTGATAATTCAATTATGTAAATGATGGTGTTAGAAAGTTCAAACAGTATGCTTGAAAATACATATGTTAGAGGGTGCGGTACATTTATTTCATAAGCTTGCATATAATTCTCATTTACGTAGACTGATAAAATGATAATGTAGGCATTTTATTTAGTCATTGAATACAGCCTCTTTTCTTCCAGGTATATTAATGAATTTGTAAAAAAAAAAAAACAAAAAAAAATCTTATAAAATCGCGTTTTGGATTTTAGACGGAAGGGATAGCTCAGGTAGTCTGCGCAACTGCATTTTTAGAAAATAGATATGATGAAATCACTAGAAAACGTTAATTACTTTGTGACATAAAAGTCATCTAATAGTTAGTAAACGTTTATTAAGTTTAAAGCTGGCTTTGATTTGTTAACTTGCAATGTCCCTCTACCGACAGACAATCTTATGAGTCCGAATTCCACAGATTTCAAATTGAATTGAAATTTTTAAGCTCAGCTGAAGTGATGATCATTAATTGATTTATCATCAAAAAATTGTATTAAATATAAATCAATTTTAGGACAAAGTCATGAATTTCAGTAACTTAATTATATATCCTTACAAATTAATTGAGAAAGAAAAGTATAAAAAGGGTAAGAGCAGTTTTACACAACTTTTTCCTCAATAGCATAAGTTTTTTATTGATAATTTTTTTAAAATATGATGAAATGAAATTGTCATTGGACACACCAAATTTTTTTCTGTTAAGAATTTGAATATTTGCATTAAAAAACATTTTTTATTATAACGAAATATATAAGCTATAGAATGAATGATACAAAATTACAATGAACTATAAAGTATAAATTCTACAGTAAATTCGAACGGTGCACAAAAATATTGTTCTTTTCAACATCTTTAATAATTCATTTAATATAATGATTATAAAAAATTCCTTTTATATTACTGCAACACATTATTAATGGCCTAATCTAAATTTATTAACCATAATATCTATTATTTGCGAAAAACACAGTTAACCTTAATTTTTTAATAAATGTAAACTTATTAGTACCTTCCACATAATTTAACTATTTATTATATTTAAATTTTATGATCTCACTCACTCATAAGAGTACATTCTAAGAAACCTTAAATATAAACCTAATTTTTTGTAATAATACTCTTGTAATGTAAAAAATTATTTAGAAATCAGTAGGTATTCATTAATTATTAATATAAAAAATAGAGATATTCTCTTAAAGATCCGATAACATTCGATTGAAGTGTTTGTATAAAAAACATTTTTAAAGAATCCAAAGAAAAGAATTGATCATGACAAATAAATATTTAAAATTAATAGAAAAGTAACAATATCGTTTATTGGTTCACAGAATTTTGCTGTTTTCAATATAAATAATCTACGTTTCTGATTAAAAGTTTCAAAAGCACCATTGTAATTTGCTTGATGAGGTCGATTTGAACACCTTTTAACATGAAACTATATGTTATCATGTATTATAGTGCATTTTTGTCTCATTATAAAGCACTATAATCCACTTATTACTGTAATGACTCAATGCCTGTAAAATGTTTAGATTGAAAAATAAGATAGCTCTTTAAATTACTCAAAATCAATCTTTACACTTATTATGAGAATGTGCTTCAATTTATTTTCTATTTATGTAAGCCACTCCTTGATAATTATTCACTGTTGATAATTTTTAAAATGTATTCTTTTTCCACTTGAATAGAAAGCTTGGTATTAATTAACTATATTCTTGTATCATACATTAAATCACGATCTTATTCGTTTAATTTAAATGAAAGTTAAATTTTACGGATACAATTCGTAAGTTATTTCTGATGAAGTATATTTATCAAAATTTTTCAACAAATTAATTCAGCCTAAAATCAAGTTCACGATAACAACATATGCATTCATAACTAATTTCAAATAGATTGATTGTTTCTTATTGCAAGGCTGATATTATTAATGCAATTTTGATTTTTTTCATTCACACTTTTTATTTAAAAGCTTATTTTCTTGACTTTTTAAGCATACTCTCAGAAATTATATGCTTTCTGTAATCATTCGTTAGAGTAGCAAAAACTCACATTAAATTTTATTATGGTTTCAGTCATGTTATTTACATAATTCATTTATTCTGCAAACATAAGATATTCACGCCAGCCTTCCTTATAACATTTTTATGATTTCATAATCTTACATATATCATTTAATTCATAACATTTTTTCTACGAACATCTTTATCTACAAATTGCTGTGCTTCTATATAGTAACTTTTTCCTAAAATTTTAAGTCAAAAATCGAATATTAGTTTTTTAGTATTTCATAAAAAAATTGTTGTAACATTGTTCTGAGATAAAATGTCGATGGCATTTCTAAAATTAAAAAAAGACCCTTTTTATCAAAGCTTAAATTTGGAAAACTATTAATATTGGGTAAAGATAAATATTTAAAATAAAATGCTCAGCATCGTGTCAAATAATAAGAAATATTGTGTACATTTTATTGTAAAATGATCTTTGTTTTTCATAAAAATTGAATTAAAAATAGAAACTACACGAATTACGAACAAAAAAATTTTATTGCAATACAACTATATTTGTTCTATATTAGTTTTTAACGAAGTAATGCTGATTTTCAAAAATAATCTTAAAATAAACATTCATAAATATATCAAAGTTTGTCAATTTTTTTAATTATTGAAAACAACTCTTATAGTATGATCGCTATCATTACATAGGTCTGTATAAAAAACAATGCATTAAATATATAATATTCAAATATTTTTAATCTCGTTTTAATCTATTTTATTCAAGGATATGAGTGGGCACACTTTTTGTAAGGCGTACAAACTCAAAAGTTAAAGAATTATTTACGCTCTTTTATTATCTTGTTTTTAAGACACCGAGAAAATTTATAGAGGCAAATACAGAGCAATATATATTTATTTAATCATTTTGAAATTTTTATTTATATAATAACGATTTTTTTTGGTGATAGAGCTTTATGTGTAATTTGTAATCTTTTATATTAATTAACTACTAATTTATTGTTATTTCGTTTTAATTTTAATTATTAAAATTATATTACAATAGATTTCTATAATTTTTTATTTATTTATTTATTTGTTTACATACCTAAGGCTGTCAAAAATTGAAACATGATCTATAAATTATTAATTTGAAATGCTCTTTTTCAAACAGTAAAAATTTATTAATCTTGTCTACAATATTTGACAGCATATTTACTTATAATTTTTAAATCATTAGCACAGCCATATTAGATCAGGCTTCAAAACATAATTTTACTCATCGTTGTCCAATATTTGCGTTCAAAGTTTTATTTCTTATACTTCAATTATTTTTAATGAATCTTTCACAATGTCCAGGTAATTTTTATTATTAAATATTAAGTAATCATTTTTCGAGGACTCGCTTTCATTAGTTTACAAATCAAGATTTTCACGATGTTTTAATTTTAAATTTATAAAAAAATTAAATAAAAACATAATAAATGATGTTTTATTATTAAAAAAATGTAAGCAATAATTTTCACTTTTACAGTAATAATTTAAGATACAATTGTCACATATTCGGAACGCACTTTAAAACACGTGGGTTTTTTCAAAGTTTAACAATTATTTTTAAACTATGACTGGACTATGAGAAACGAGAACTTTTATTGTTTGTAAGTAAATATAAACTTTTAATTTCAACCATAACTTTAAAATATTAAATTATTCAATACAGTTTCTTCAATACGTTAATTATTTTATGTTCTTCACCAATTATTACGTTAGAATTTAAACAGGATTTTTTCCCGGCCTGTAATGTGAAATCTAGCTCATAATTTCAAATAATGGTGAAATATTTGTACTATTTTATAACAACTTGTATTGTAATTTTATTTTTGGAGCATACTCTGGATTAATGTTATGCATTCGTACAATAAATAATTTGGAGCAGATAATTTTACACATTTGGAAGCCTGATTTTAATGATCGTAAGGACCAAATTTTTGATATAGACGCTTTTTGTTGAACTATTTGGTTTCGACAAAATACATAGCTGGTTTTTAATGTTTCCAAGCTATGGTATTTTTCACATTTAGGTGATATACAAGAAAGTTTTATATTAGCTTACGTGTACGGCAATTCATCGCAAGGGCCTATCAAATCAAATTTTATGCTACAAACTTTTTTTTTTAAAGATATGCTATTAGATACCTCTAATTAAATGACTTTTGTCATACGTGTGAACTCTTTTTACTAGTGACAACCTTTATCATTAATATATTTGATACATCTTTATATTTCTTTTTTACATAACACATGGTACATTTACCGTTACGTTCATAAACCACTTCTCTTTAAAATTATACACTGTAATCTATTGTACATATTTATGTTTTGACATTTACAAATTAATACACGTTCTTTTTCACTAACATTTTTGTAGCTCTATTTTACATTTCTTGAATATTCAAGTCCGTTCTTTATCATCTTACTTCATTTTTTTGTGGAAGTATATAGTTAGCATTTAGTCAAGACTCGAAAGGAGGACAAAGCAATCCCTTAATAATATTGCGTTACATATTAAAAGGTGATTCAACTACAAATTTTTAATGAATATATGCAATTTGTGCACTTTAATGAAAAAAGCTCAAGTATTGTGCTTACATGGAATACGCAATCGCACTTTTATAAAGTTAGAAAAATGTGCATGTAAGTGTAAAAAATTAAATTCATTATAAACACGCGCGCACGTGATGACATAATGAAATACATATTTTAGCGACATCTCGTTCCACTTGATTATCCACAAAGAAGCAGATAAAGGAGTTCTTAAAATAATCATCATATGCATTCAAAATTCAAGTAAATGCACGTAGGAAGAGGAGGAAGAATGCAGCGAGGGCATACGAACATTAAACTCGGTCCTCCCTACGGAGTCAGGCACTGCCGGGCGGTGGTGGGAGGTAATGCATGTATAATTGCATATTCATTCCTCCAGCACCACATAATTTTTTATTAATACATGTACATATTTTTCATATATATTTATATTTATATACAAGTACATATTTTTATTATAATTCATTGCTCTTTTCTACAATTAGAATTTATACTCTATCGCTACAACTCGCAACAACTTTACATCAATCTTGACAAAATCAATTAACATGTAGGAGGAGGTCTATATTCCTGGGAAAGACTAGATTGAGCACTTGAGCTTGTTGTCGGCCTTCCACTCATGCCGGTTATAGATTGTTGTGATACAGTTGTTGTTGATGATGTTGATGTTTGCGACAATGGTTGTTGAACACTCCGCTTATCCATCTGTATGCTAAACTTTTTGGAAGGCCGTTGCGGCCTGAGAGAGCTCAGAAGTATCGACTGATTCTCCCGTTGACCATCCAGTGGGTCTTTGAAACGTGGTTTTTGCTTTGAAGCTCGCAACTCTTCGAAAGCTCGTTTGTTTTTGTTTTCTTGTGTTGTCTCGTCTCGAGCTTGTTTTTCTTCTGAAAATAAAGCAATGTTATACAACTTCTTAAATTTTTTGTTTAAAAAGCAAACTTTTAAAGCAATATTTTATAGCCAAATGAAAATCTTATTGAATAATAGTTTTAATAATTGTATAAAAATCTTTCTAGAAGATTCCTGCGTGAAATTTGTATATAATATACTCTCAAACATTGCACACTTGATGTTCATGATAGTGAAATGTTCTAAATTTCATTATTTTTAAATTTTTATCTATAACTTCTACTACTTGAATGCTTGGTAAGTAAATGTTTGTTTATGCAACATCATTCAATCTTGAAGTAAATTGTGAAAACGACATTTTTTTCTACGACGATTGTGGTAAAGTGAAAATTATTATGAACCTACTAATTTTTATATTCCTATTTATAACGTTTTCGCTGTGAAGATAAATCAAAACGTGGTAATTTATCAAAATGTATAATTTTTCAATTATACTACATGCTTTGTAACTGCTTTCAATACACCACGAAATGATTAGTAGCTGTATAATTGTGAAGATAAATTTTATTCACTCCGCAATGTAAGTAAAAGCGTTTAAGCAATACAGTAGCTTAATCTATCTATAATTATGAGTATAGTACATTTCTACAAGCTCGCTATTAACTAAATGCTCGATTTTCTTTTTATGTTCGAATATTACCATAGACGTTCGTATACATATTGCCCATTAAAGCTAGTCTAGTGTGGTTGTCGCAAACAATCTTTGGATGCGATGTCGTCGAGTTATCAATGAGCTTTTGCGTATCTGAGTCAGCACTTCCAACATTGGCATTATAGTAATTACTTTCCGATTTTTTGAGAATTGATTTGGATATTCCTCGTTGTTGCCTTTCAATAAAAGGCGCTGCTTCGCTATCAATAGAGTCGGCTGACAAAGATAGTTTACTCACCATGGATCGCCCTGAAAAAGTTTTAAGCATGCACAAATGCACAGTTAATCAATTTGAAATCGAATTCGTCTAATTTAATGAAACAATTTTCATTTGTGCTGTTTGCCAGTTAATTTTGTTCCGAGTTAAATCTTTTTTTTACTTACGAAACTACTAATGGTTCAAAAAGCACATCTTTTAATTTAGCTTTATAAAGAATAATATTTCTTAAAAGACAAGAGTTCTTTTACATGATTCGATAAAAACTATAATTAAATATCTCTCCCAAATCCAAAGTTTTACAAAAATTTAATTTATTTTTCAGTTACATTTCAACTGTAATAAATCATATTAATTTTTCAAGACTTTATACAACGTGAAAGCGTGTTGCTTGAAAGCGAAATGGTGCATTATGCCATGATTTATTAATATATAATAGAAATAGAACTTTTTGCACTGGATTTGAGCAAGTAATGCTACGAAATGAGACTTTTTATTAACCTCAATTATAGTTTCGATTAAACGAAGTTGCTGTAACAAACAAAATATTGCAGTGCGGTTAAATGAAAACTTCACGGTGTCTTTGTGAATATAGAACAATGTTTAACGATAATACAGAGAATTCGTTTGAAATTGAAAATTTAAGATAAGTGTTGACGTTTACATTATTTTGTGATGATTACCAATCATCGCCAAATAATTCTTTCATACTTTTCAATGGCTTTCCTATTTACAGATAGTTACTGAGTGTTTAACCCATTAACGCCCAAAGTGACGAAATTTTTCTTCGCTGGACAATTTCTTTCATATTCTAGGCCTTGAAAAGACTTTGCACATATATAATTTGACGTAAAATTTAATGTCTTTTCATAATCCGGGCTCAGATTTAAGATTTAATGTGTAGTTGAACAGTTATGGTTCTTTAAACACAAAAAAGCTTAAAAATTTGTGCAAAACATTGACTATGGGAATTTTTTCGAAGTGTTATTGTGAAAAAATTCAGATTTAAATAGGATGAGAGGGCGATAATGGGTGTAGAAATAACTTAGGAAATTTTCGAAGATTTTTCAAACCACTTTTTCTAACAAAATTACGTCAATTTTGATTATCTTCAAGCGAAGCAAAATTTTGTCATTCTGGGCATTAATGGGTTTAAGGTAGTTAGTTCCCTCAGAACCTGACCTACAAATTCGGGCATATGTCTAAAAAAAATCTGGAAAAATTCATACTCTTTGCTTGACAAATTCTAAGACTCTTTTGTTCTTTTTAAACTTTTGGTAGAGCTCATACTTATTGAGATAAAAAATTGCAAAGATTCATTGCTTGAAATTTTTTAAATTTGAATCGTTTATAGCTCGTGAAAAATAGATTTTAGAGAAAATTTGCAAGAGTACTTTTTTATTTAAAATGACGTTAAAAACCTTTAAAAGTGGGTTTTAGGTCAAAAAGTTGGAAATGGTTCCATTTCGGAAATGGTTTGGTTAAAGTTCCTGAAATTTATCACACATATGAAAAGCACTGTCAATAATATGCGATTAAAATTTTAAGACCCTTTATCGATAGTCATTTTTTTGAAGAAACTACCTTAAAGCATTTAATGGTTAAATAGGTATGACTCAAATTGCAAGCTGATGCGACATTAGTTGGTATATGTAAAAATCACATGAAAATCTTTTAGATTTAATTTTGAAGTGAGCCACATAACTCTCAAAAACAGACTTATTCAATTGAATATTTTGAAATTATAAAGTTGTTAATAAGAATCACTCTTCAAATGAATTAGTTTCAACTGTTAAAAAATAATTTACATCACTCACCGTTCATTTTTAGACATTATGAATTAAAATATTTTACATAAAGTCTATGCAGTATAAAAAGTAATTTTAAGGTGCAATTTTGAAAATCATAAATTATATTTATTTTCTCTGCTAAAAAGGCAGAACTTTATTCTCCTCGTATACTTAAATTAAATCACTTTAACAATCATGATTGATTTTTTTTCTCTTTTTTTATCATCTTTTTTTATATAACACTTCAAGTTCATAAAAAATAAATCGACTTTTTAAAATTATTTGCAGCATAATTAAACTAATCTATTCATTTCTTACTTATTCATGTAAATAACGTTGACTAGTGGTTAAAAGTATGCAACAAATATACAATTTATAACAAAATTTTACATTACAGTGATACAATTTTTCGACTGAAGTCAGTCACATTGACCAGATATAGTTTTTCACAATTTATTTACGCTTTTCGTTAAACAACATAGTGCATATCCGAAGTGAGATTATAATTACTTAAAATAACAGAACATCATGATATACATATTTACAATTGCTTGCTTGACAAACTCTTGAGTGTGCATTGATAAAGACACATTGTACGTAATACTAACTGAATTGAAAAACTGTCAGCCTCACTAAATGGAGCTTGATATAATCATATCTTCATAAATTTTAAAATTAAATGACTTCAAAAGTACATCATATAAATTTGATTTAAATTGCAATGTCATTTAAGATGTGCGTGCATGTGCAGTGAGAAAATATGACGTTTAATTACCAGAGTGATGTTTGGAACTTGCAATAGATCCAAATAGATGATGGTTTATGATTCTTGTCGCAGAGGCAAGACTATTAACAGGACCAAATGGTGTGGACGCGCGGCCACCTCGCAGACCACCGCCACTTCCACTACTGCTGCTTCCGACGCCAGCGCCAAAGCTCAATAAGCTGTCGTATTGATGCTGCAACAGTTGCTGCTGCTGATTATTGTTATCCTCTTTTAAGCTCGGTGGGTCCTCACGAATCGTCGAAGATCCACTAGAGTCTGTACCACTGGTTATGAGTTGCGCTCCTCGTGATCTTTGAAAGCTCTGAAATTTAAATCAATTGTTTCAAAATTATAGTTTATCCAGAATTATCACTTTAATCCATGGTTTCAACATTGATTTTCTCTTAAAAATAGATTAAAAATACCCATTTTTCTATGGTTTGATTTGAATAATCATTGTTATTAATTAAAGCTCATCAAATTAAATTTATTTAATAGGCAGATTTTAATTCATTTTAAATGGTAAAGCCATTTCACAACAACAAGAATAATACAAAACAAATATATTATTTAATCCAAAATAAAACTATTATCACATTAAAACCATCAAAATAATGAGGGATAGAATGTTGTAATACATTATTTACATAAATAAACCGTAAAATGACATGGATTGGGTCTTGAAATATAATAAAATATTTTTCATAAATCAAGTATAAATTACATGAATTTTTTGTTAAGGTCATTCATTCAACTTATTTGTTAGCTTAAATTTTAAAAATATTTACAGTTAATTCATTAAATGTTCTTAAATTGACTTTTTGTAACAGTAATTATTGTACTTATTGTACTTTAATGCCAATATATCACAAGTGAGGTTAACATTTTCTCATGTGCATACAAAGAAATAATGCGTTTGAAGGATTAATATGTTTAAAACTTGAAAAATCATAAAAATATTTTTTTCGGGATGATCTGACTTACGAGTTACTATCCACCATTTCAAATTTTTGAACCTGTAAAACTTGGTTGTAAATTAAAATTTTTGATAAAATTCTAAAAATTTCCAAACAATCAAATAAAATGTCTCAAAGAAAATTCGTTAACCACCGTAAACTAACTTGTTTTTAAGTTTTATTTTATCTCGACAACGCCCTTAATTTTATTGAAATTTTTCTTAAGAATCTCCGAATTAATTAAATCACTTTATGTTAATGTATTCCCGCTTATTATTCTTTATGGAGCTTTTCTTTTTTGTTCTCTTTATTTATTTCATTTATTCATCCCTTGAATTTCCTTCCCTTTTATCCGCTTTTTTATATCGTGCTGATTAAGTCTTAAACGGTTTTCTTGACGTGCGAGAGGTGTTATCACTTATTTTTCTTTTTCTCACCTGTTGAATACGGGATTTCCTGTGCTTAGGTATAGCTTCGTTCACGTTTATTTTGCCACTTGCTTTGGTGGGTGAGTTAATTTCCTTAAGCGACTCTGCGCTTGGTGATACATTTAGGGCAACGTGAATTATCTCGCCCGATGCTGACTTTTTTACTTGACTCTTGTCTGTACTACCTTCCAATGGATTGATGTACAAATTGCTGTCCATCTCCGCCGTCAAATCGCTCTGAAATATGGAAATTTTTGTCCATTAAACTAAAATTTATCTAACAGCTGTTTACAGTAACAATTCAATCGATATGATGCCCAAAATTATGATTTATAGCTAACTTTATGAATTTATTGACTTTTCCGTTGTTCATCATGACTATCTATTATTATTCAAGAGCACTAAATAATCAAGAATGTAACTCAGCTGAAGTCACAAAATACTCGAATATATTGCCTAAAATCTGCAACTACACGTGTTGATTCATGAGTTCATATATAAGTTTATATCGATATAAGTATAGAATCTATTCAATATGCACACAAAGACATACATTTATCACCACGCATTGACCTAATATTATTAAGGAACCCGTCATATTTAAAGCAACGAAATCCTATGATTAATGAATATTTCCGGAAATTTAAAATTTAAAGAAAGGTTCTATTAGAGTGTAACACCATTTACGGTTTACCGAAACAACGTAAAATAATAACTATTTTTACTACTGAATTAGACGAATAGATGTTCTTAAATGAAAGTCGATGTCACTGATAGCGTCAGTTCATTTACAATTGGACCTAACATCTTTGATTAAGCTACTCTTACTTCTTGACATAGTGCACTTACCTCGGAGTAAAAAGGGTGTGTTTGACAGCTGGCATATGTATCGGAGCTATCTACGCTCCCTCGCTCATTGTAATTCTTGTGAAGATTTGAAGAATCTGTAATATTCATAGTTTGCTGTGACGCCATTATCATCAAAGGCTGTTGTTGTTGCTGTTGTTGTTGTTGATGCAGCTGCTGCTGTAACAATAACTGTTGCTGCTGCTGTTGTTGTTGCTGTTGCTGCTGCAGTTGATGCTGCCCTTGACGATGCTGATGCTGGTGTTGTTGCAGTTGTAATAGCTGTTGCTGTTGCTGTAAATGTTGCTGCTGTTGTATTTGCTGCTGCTGAATTTGCATTTGCTGCTGTATCTGTCTTTGCAATTGTTCAAGTTGATGAAGTTGTTGAAATTGGTGCAGCTCTGTCAGCAACGATGCTTGATCAAAACTACTTTCTCGATAAGATTTATTCAAATCTTTGCCGCATATCGTGTGCTTAAAATCGCTGGTTCCTAAAGGCATAATATCTTCGGCGTCTCGGTGCTCCTTATATTCCTAAAAAATTTAATTTTTCACTTGATATTGAAGGTGTTTAAAACAAAAGCATGAAAGAATTTTGCAACACTAATAATTAAGCGAAATAAAATATAACAAAGATTTAGCTTAAAAAATTTTTGATCAAAAAATATATCTATTTATTATAATAATACTCTTTGTTTATTAAATTAAGTAAAAGATTTAAAATAATTGTGTGCCTAGCTTTATTTTGTAAAATTTCTATGAATTTTTCTTATGAAATGTAATGACCACTGTAAGTTCATTATATTGAGTTACTTTAGAATTTTACATTGACCAAAGCTATAATGATTTATGGATAATAGAAATTTAAATGACGTGTCTTAATAATGAATGAATATACAAGGAATATAATTACCATGTAAATAATTTGATGAGGATTGCGAGGCAACAAACAAAACAAAAAATAAATCACATAATAAATAAAGCTGTATGGTACGTATCACTGCAAGACTTCGTAAGCATATTGAGAATGCGACTATAAATAAAAATTATGATTAAAATAAATCGAACGAAAAACTTAAATAATGATTATTTATAATACCCTTTGATGATTATTCAAATTGAAAAAAAAACATTAAATACACATTAAAAAGTAATATTTGTTGATGAATGCACTAAATTATTTGATTAAAAAATTTACCAATGATCATTCTGAGATAAACAAAGATATTTGTAGAGCTCAGAACAATAATTAATAAGCTTCATTCATCATAAAATAGGGATAAGGAATATCAGTACATATTGAAATTATTTTCAAAAATAAGACATCAAAGTTTGTTTTTACTAATTTTGTAATGCAAAAGTACTGATATGAATCATCTGAATATTTGTGAGTATGATTATACGTAAATACCTTTGTAGTACAAAAGCAACACTCGAATTCACTAGGAAATTCATCGGTTTTTGCGACTTTGTCACTTTCCTTCTCTTTTCTTCTAGATTTTTTGTCCTCTTCCTACAAATGTTATAACATTATGTTTTCACGTTATTTATCGGTTAGTGCACGACCACATAGTATGAATGATAAAAACGTTCATGGTTTTTTGCATTTTAATTTACACACGCTTTAGTTTTACCAACATGCAACATGATTCAAATCAATAAAAAAATGCTATTATATTATTTTAAGCATGAAGCTAGCTCACAATTAATTAGTTTTTCACCCTTTGCGATGTCAAAAATCAATAATGTAAGCTAACTGCCATAATATGAATGATGATGAAATTGATTAGTTAAGCTATGTTCATGAAATAATTATGATACCCCTGCAAAAATTTGAGAAATTAATCGTCTTCAAATTTCATATAAATAAAGTCAAGTGCGTTTCTCTAGTTACTATGGTGATATTTAATATCTTAAAGTCATCAATAATCATAATATAGATAAAAATGATGGCACTGGACCAGAAAATTTTCATCCTGGGATCTTCAATAGTGTATTTTTTCCTCGGGTTAGGGTATTATACGTCGCGATTAAAATGTATAAAAAATAGGATTTTCACAATTTCAAAAATTATGAATGTGAATTGTAAGGTTTAAAATTTTTTTTCAAAATTTAATGATATTTCGTATACATAAAAGGTATTCAATAAGTAATCTAGAAACATAAAATACTCTTTCATGTGATAATAATAAATAGACTTGAAAAAAGTCATTTTAAACCTCATTGGTACAATATAAAAAATCCTAATCCATTGAGGGAAAACGGAACAATTATTTCTGTGACCTCTAAAATATAAAGATATTTTTCTCCGGCCCCCACGACAGAAAACTTTTATGCTTCCTTGCTGAAATGTGTTTATTAAAATATATATTATCTACACTTAAACCTTAAAAATGAGCATTGGTTTATTCTAGACAGTTACAATAGTAATTTTCGCAGAATTATGTAAGATATACATAACTAAAAAATATAATGAAAAGGACTTGTATTTTATGAAAAATATATTTCAGATCGAGAATCAAATACTTTGAAACGAGTATAACAGAATGAAAAACTGAATTTGAATCGTTCAATTTTCCTCAGACAACTGCATTGCGGCTACAAGCTTTTCACAAAGTAAAAAGTATATTGCTTAAAAACAATGTTTATTATAAAAATCATCTTGGATCTATCAGGAGTTGTGATAATGTTTATAATCACAAAAACATATTCGACTCGAATATTAGCTTTATTTTTTTACTGTGAAGTACATTAATTTTACACCTTTTCATCTTTCATACTTTCACTGATTTAAAAATAACATCATATTTTCATTTATTAAATTTAAGATAATTTTTAAGCAATTATTTAAGGCTTCTGCTTTAGTTTATATTTTTTTCTCAATTCCACAAACTTTTTATTGAATTCAATTCCTTTTACATTATAATGTTATATGGTTATTATCATATTCAACAGTTTCTATTTTTCAGATGTATGGTACTAATAATCGTCAGAAAAATATTATTTCAAAAAACATCGTTGTTTTTTTTAAGGCAAGCTTACTTATTCATAGCATGAATTTTTTTTAAGTGAATATATTTACTCTGAATACTGTAGATGTCTCACTCTTGAGGTGCAATACATTTTTTCTCGATATACTTTTTTATGTCACCATTACTAGCATCAATATACGTGAGTGTAAAGTTTAAATTTATTTTGGTTTACAAAATAATATTGAATTACATCAAACTGTATCAGACACTTCAATAAATTTAAATATGGTGCTAAATTTATTTTACTTTTTTTATTGTTCAGTATATTAAAACTTAATATATTATTCATAAAGAGTATAACGAAATCCACTTCTATCTAATCAATGGAATGTAGCGTAGGAATTAATAATTATAAATGGTTTATAAATATCACTCTAATTAGTAACGTATATCAATATTTCACAATCATCATCAATTTTATAATAATAACTATTGTTGAATAAAATAGCTTGCAGTGCTATTCTTTTATAGCACAATTTTTGTTCATAAGTTCATAATGAAATGTATAAAAGTATTGATTTTAATTTAAGAATATTATTTTGTCAGTTACCGATACTATAACACAATTTTTTCTAAACAATACTTTTTTCAAATAAATGAAAAATTATTTTTGCACTCATAAAAAGATACGTTTTTCACATTATGTATTTTTAATTTTTACTCGTTTATAGCTTTACAATTATTCTTTTATAATATGTTCATATTATTATTAACGATCAAAAATTTTTCCACTATATTCCATTAGCTTCTTGTTTTTAAGCTTTTATTGACTCCAAAATTATTCCTTATAGATCTTCATCAAGAATGGATTTCTGTCCCTGCAAGGTAAGAGTTCAAAACTAAATTTCAATAGTTTCGATTTATGGCCGCTTATGACTAATGTATAGAATTTTATTTAAATAAACGATAAACGAGTTAACCATTAGCAAAAATAAAGTTCGATATTCTACATAAACATTTTAATTCATTTTTAATATTTTCATAACATTACTATTCAATATTTTAAATACAGTATCTCATAAGCGACCTATTGATTATTTCTTGAAATATTTCTTTCATTTTACTCAATTTTGTTTCATGCTTACATATTTTTTCTAAACTTCAATTTTAAATGTTTGTATAAATTTTTTTGCAAAGCCATTACAGTGTATTAAAAGCCCTAGACTCCAACTACGTGTACGTGAAAAACGATACTTCATGTAGGAATTCTCTTCTAAACGTGAAAAATGTTGCTTGCTCCCAAGTGCTTTTTAAAATGTTGCATCACAGTCATTTTAACTTTCATGTGCTATTTTAATAATATTTATAAAAGTATTATTTGTGCTTTTATATTGATTGAACATTTTGAAATACAGGCATCCCTCGTTATACGCGGTTCCAGAACGAACGTCGAACATTTTTTTTCATAACCTTGTATGACGCCAAAAACTCGGAAAATTTCCAAAACTCCAGTAAAAACAAGAAAAATTATCAATTTAGCTGAAAAATTGAAAATTCTAGATTTACTCAGAGAAGGAGTAAATTTTTATATTAATATATTTAATATATAGAACACTATTAACGTAACCATCCGCTTTTCCCCTCGTTATACGTGGGTTTCGCTGTACGCGGGACTTTTTTTGGAACGTAACCACCCCTTATAACGAGGGACCCCTGTATTATGCATATTAATTTTGAGTTTGGCTATTCAAGGGAAAATTCTTACAAAAATATTTACTTTTCGTATACGAAACTCAAAAATCTCTGGAATTCCGTGTACTACTTTTACCCTGAATAGACACTTCGATTGATTTTACGTATGAATCTATAAAATATTGCCATTCATGATTTTAGCGTTTGGTCTACAGCTATAAAAGATAAAAAGTGCAGAGCATATTGAAGCAAAAACTTTCTGTATTGAAAAAATCTTTTTGAACTTGCATGAATTATTTCACTGTGCTCGCTGCATACAGCAAAAAAATTTGTCATTTATTTTGCTACTCGCATAACATCGTTCTATGTTTACGCAATTTTACGCTAAATACTGCCAATTATGACGCTGCAAGATTCCACCAATATTATTTGAAGCGATGATTTTTTAATAAAATACGTATTTATGAAGTATTCAAATTGATTAACTAATCATTATTGAACATACTTGAAAATTCAATGACGTACCTTAAATCATAGCTTTGTAAGATTTCTTACGAAAATAACATTGATTATCTTCACATTACCAGCGACAATTATTTCTCTCGAATATATCAATTTTAAAGAAAAAGTTGTTCCTGTACGTCGTGCAAATTCACTTTTAGATCAATCGACATGCTCATCATAGTTGGCTTTAAATTATAATCATGACTTGCAATGCTCATGTTGCCCGTGATTTATTTGAATTGAATAATACTCTTCTTAGTTTTTCACTTTTTGAGAATTTTTTAGAATGCCAACTTGAGGTTTTCTGCTATTTCTCCTCTGAAAAGTGTATTTTTATGTGCTTTGTATGTGCATAATTTGTTAAAAATACCGAAAACACGTTAAAAACTTTTAAGGATTCAAATTTATAATAAATGAAAGGATTAAATATTTGGAAGCTTATTTTTTAGCTGCCAAAGCTAGTTGAGAAACGCACTATAACTTTTTAATTATCATAATTGTAATTTTTATAATTAATGTGAAGTTGAAACTTTGATGTTTTTGAATTAAGTTTATTATAAATAAAATATTGTAGTAATTACTTTTAGTTATAACGCAACGGATTTTAATATTCATCATTTAATATAAATATTTCTTTACTTTACTTCAATGCAAAAACCTTACCATAACATATTTTTTTGCCGCTTACTTATCCCGATCAAACAGCAAACAGCAGTACTCAAAAATTTTTTGCGACAAAAATTGTATAATATTTTTTTTAACACTGCATGCACGAAACACGGGTTTTCTAACCTTAACGCGTCAGAAAACCCTAGTTTCTCGCAAGCAGAGTTAAAAAATATCGTTTCCAACTAGTCCGCGAAGAAGTTGACTCAACCAGGAGTCTTTGCACCTCCTAACAACTCCTGGCTGATTCAACTGCTTCGCGCACTTTTTACAAAATATACTATTATTATCCAACATTGTCTTTCTTTACCGTTGTTACTTTTTTATCGGGTCAAGCTACTGCAGATTTATTTAGTATATATTTTACACATTAAAGTAAGGTAATTTGAACGGATAATGCAGGTGATATTTTAAATATTAATGAGTATTTTTTATTTATTTATGGTTAATGGTATATTGATGAAGTTACTGATTAAGCAGATCGATTAGTTTGTAAGAAAATATGAAGAATATGAAATGATACAAATGGGAATGTATATTATTTCTAAGAATGTATATGAATGTCTAAAATGAAAATATTGAATTGAAAAATTATTCCCTTTAATGTAATAAATTTACTCGATAAAAAAGTTCAAATACTAATTTAGTTAAACTATGATACCTAAAAAAAAGGGATTTACTTTTTAACTTATTTTTCGATAAAACCATGCTCTCATGTGCAAAATTTGAACAGTCGAAATTTCATTTAGTACACATAAAACTTTCACGTAAAACCACTCCTACAGCACACGTGTATCCTATTACCGTTACACACTAGTGATAAAAAACATAGATTTCAAAACTATATTTTTTAAAAATTTCATAGATATATGATGCAAATAGTGAATTGTTTGATTTCGGTTCTGATAGTAAACTATTTTAGCGATATTTTAATTTTAATACAATTAAATTAAACACTTACATTTGGCGAGGTAAGAGCTTGATTAAATTGTTGGGCGGGCAGCTGATCTTGATAATAATGATCCGCCTGGTTATTCGATATGTTTTGGGCGAAATCGAGAAGTCTACGATTCGGACTGTCCGGCGTATTAGACAGATCATTTTGAAGATTTGGAAAGCATGAGGAATCTCTCCGATTCTTCGATGATGGACCGTAGTGCTCGTAATTTTTGTAGCAACCAGATCCAGTTTGTGCTGGACCTCTGCCACATTGAGATTCGCCTTCTGTGCTATTGCCATCAACCCCTGACATATTGTGACCTAGGGAGAAAAAAATGAAAGAAAAAGAAAAAAAATGCTTTCAGTTAAGGTGTCTTGTTTGAATGTATGATATAGTAATTTATAAATTTAATAAGCCAATAGCAAAATAGTATATTTTGTAACAAGTGCGCGAAGCAGTTGACTCACCCAGGAGTTGTTTTCACCCGAGCGTAGCGAGGGTGCAAAGACTCCTGGGTGAGTCAACTTCCTCGCGGACTAGTTGCAAACGATATTTTTTAACTCTGCTTGCGAGAAACTAGGGTTTTCTGACGCTTCAAGGTTAGAAAGCCCGTGTTTCGCGCACGCAGTGTTAAAAAACAAGTTTTTCTTCGATGCCGTGAAAAAATTTTTACATAGCGAACATAGCGCTTTTATTTGTACACAAGCAATATTGGTTGGATCAATATTTTTTTATCATGTGTGTACGCATACGTGTATTCACTTATATATTTATTATATATTACATAGGTACGGAAATTAAAAAACGGCAATAAGCGATCATAGTACCTTTTTGAGATTTTTTTAGCACGTGAGATCTATATGAGACCACGCAGCTATTTTCAACTAAAATATAATACATTATTTCATTGATATTGATTAAGCGCAACGAAGCTTGCTACATAAATTTAAAGTAGTTTACTCAGCCCAAATATATTTTTGAGAGTTTATATTACAGTTGATGCTAAACTTGACTGTGTACTAGTAGAGCTAAGCGGCTGCTAAAACAAATGACTCTAATGTAAAATCGCCCCCTGCACCGTATCAGAGACCCCTGAATTTCAATTTTTTTATTAATATCTTAAATGTTTATTTGAGAAGGTTCCCAACGATAATGCTGGAGACCAAATGCACTAGAATTCTATCGCACTTGTAGCCTTGTAGCCTTAATGCGTATTATTGAATATCAAAATATAAAAAAAAAGTTTAAGTATACTACAAGAAGAGTAAAATTATGTGTATTGAACGTAGGCCTTAATTGTAAAAAAATTTATATAGTAAGTGTAGAATAAAATTGTAGCAATCGATTGTAGATCGATGACTTTTATCCGAATTCTAGTGCATAAGAACTTTTACTCATTTCTATAAAAATATAAATTGAATACTATTCTAGGTGATAAAGAGAGTAACGGCGCTTGATATTTTAAAAGCAAGTTTACAAGCAGCAAATTTATATGCAATTTAAATTTTTGTTCGGTACCTCATTTTTTCGTATATTATGTATTATAGACATTTATGTTTTTCCATTTAAAGTGCATAAAATATATTGTAATTGTATTCATAAGTAAACTTGAAGAAATTTTGTAAAAATTAAGTGACTCATGACACCACAATTTTTAATTTTATTTCTATTTTTGCTTTGCAAACATAACAAAATAAGTATAAAATGCTATTATCACATCACTGATAGCTCATAAGTTACCATGTGTTAACGAGCTGCGGACAAATGTGATATGAATTACTTTTAATGACTTAGGCTAGAAGTCAATGAATCGCAAAATGCAGTTAATGAAAAAATTTCCAATTATGCTGTTAAAGAGAATTTAACATTTGTATTATTGTATACATCATTTTTCCCCGATTTCTGTCAACCGAAATATACTTTTAAGTAGCAAGGAATATTTTCTTTTGTAATAGATTGTTACTTAAATTGTTTACAATTACTTCATATGAAAATGTTTTTCAAAAAAAAAAGTTTGACACCAGTGCAAACAATTTTTCGAAATTTTTTTAGCAAAGAAAGTATTAGACATTAATGAAATAATCAAGCTTATGTATATTTCAGTTATTTTAATACACCATTGAAAGAAGATAAAGCTTTATTAAAAATAATGCCATAAGAGCTACGTTGCGTGTGCTGCGATTCCAATCGTACTGCAAATATATTTAAATTCTTAATCAAAATCTAATGCTGATATCTAAAAAATATCAATGTTCGACTATTTTATTTACATTCAAATGTGCACAAAGAAAAAGAAGTAACATTAAACGTTATTTACGAGATCTAATAATTTAATTTTTGAAAGCTGTTTTTAGGGTTATTTTCTTTGCGCATTTTCATAATCACATACACATGTGCATTTGTGAAATAATTTTTATATAGATTGATTGCGTTATAAAAGAATAATATAGCCGAACAACAGAGCAGCTTTTTCAAAGTAATGTGTGTACAGTTTACGTTCGGCAGCAGGATTAACGGTTGTTTACCTCCGTCGACAATCCCGTTCGCGATTCGAGCTGAAATGAAAAGTCTACTAATTTTCTCGTCAAAAATGATATCAGTTATATGTAGCTACTAAATCTCGACTTTTCTAATTAGTATTAGCTTTATTTTAGCATTCATACTAGTTTTTAGATTTTTTTCTTGTCAATAACTATCAATGAAGTGAACATTTTTTACTAATTTAAAATTGATTAAACTATTAAAAATTTAAAAGGATTTATAGAATCAAGTATAAATTAATTTCGACCATTTTTCATATCTGTAGTTTTGAACTAAATAACTCCAATTACTATTTTGTAGCTATAAAAAATATTTAGTTGAGCTAGTGTTGAAAAATTATCGTTTGTTCATATCTGTGTTGCTCCGATGAACATTTATAACTGAATCAAAAACTGTTCATTAAGTTATTTTCTAATTTGTAGTCTTGAGTGAAAACTATTCAAGTATTGATAAATTTATCATCAATTTAGTGTTCTAAATTTATAAAAAAAATAAAACAAAATAAAGAAAGCTACACGAAACATTAATCAAGTTATTGGACTAAAATCGGAGATCAAAGGTTGAAGATAGTTCAATAGTAGTAAAAAATATTGGACAAAAAAGTTTGGCAAACCTATCTATTGAAAGAAAATAAACAGGATATCGAAGTCCATTAAAGGTAAAAATCGTTTAACAAACATGCTAGTTTTTTTCGATGATAAAATACAGTTATTAGATTTTTCTTAGTCAATATTTCCGTTACAAAAAGAGAGCGAATTATTATTAAATTTGGTTGTGAACACATTCTTAATTAAACTTACGAAAAAGTGACTTGAAAATTGAAAAACCAAAAAGTATTGCAGTAATACGAATGAAAAAAGTAGTGGTACAAGGACGAGTACGGTCAGACACGAATACAATTGCATCGCGATCGCGATACTTTCGAGCAAGAACGATTGTATCACATTTGATATGCATCTGCATGCTCTTTTAAGCTTATTATACACACACGCGAGCATAATTCTCGGCACGTTCGCGTGAGCCATTCGAGAGCGGCCTTCTCGTCTTACGTATTTGCAGCTGGCAACGGGATCCTTTCTTCAATATAGTGAGTATATACCAAAGTGAAAATTCGATTGATCAAAAAAAATTGAGAGCGAAAATGCAACGCTCTTCGTGACTTTTCGCATTACGTTAACTTTTATCGTTATCGCGATTACACAAGTAAAAACAAATCAACAAAAAAAAACTCATTTCCGGGGAAAGCGAGACTCAACGAGCTTGTCGAATAAACGAAAAAATGTTCCATCGAAACTTTGCGCATCTAACAATTTCGAGGATTATTAGTGGCTCGAAAAAGGTAGGCAGCGGAAGTTTCGTGACAATTTGTCGGATTATTCGGAACGTATAGAGGTCGTTATAGAGGCGCGCGTCCCAGTTTCGAGGGCGCGCGCGTCCGCGTGTCAGATCGCGCGAGAAGAAAGACGTAGTGAGGAAAGAGTTAAAAAAGAAAGGTAATGGCATCTTACCCGTGTCGACGATGACGTCGATGAGGTCCATGCTCTTGGCGAACGCGTCCCTGAGGTTGATGTGGTGGAAGGACACGATGCTGCCCTCTCGCTTAGCTCGCTCGAGAGCCTCGCGCCGCTTGAGAGCTTTCTCCCGTCGCATCTGATTCTTATAGAACTCGGCGAAATTATTGACAATAATGGGAATGGGTAACGCGATTACCAGGACACCACATATACAACACACACTACCGATGACCTTGCCCAACGCGGTGGTGGGGTAAATGTCGCCGTAGCCAACCGTGGTCATGGTAATGCCAGCCCACCAGAAAGTCTCAGGAATGCTTATGAATTTGGTCCCGGGCTCCTCCTTCTCGGCGAAGTAAGCCAGGCTCGAGAATATCAACACGCCCATGGCGAGAAACAGCATGAGCAAGCCGAGCTCTTTGTACGAGTTTCTCAGGGTAAAGCCGAGACTCTGCAGGCCGGTCGAGTGCCTTGCCAGCTTCAGTATGCGCAGTATGCGCATGATGCGGAATATCTGCACGACCCTACGCACGTCCTGAAACTGGTCGGTCGCGTTCTTGTTGGTCTCGACGAGGAAGAGCGACACGTAGTACGGCAGTATCGCGAGCAGATCGATGACGTTGAGGCCGCCCTTGAAGAACTTCCACTTGTCGGGCGAGGCGCTGAAGCGCAACACGTACTCTAGGGTGAACCAGGTTATGCAGACGGCTTCGACCATCGCGAGCTGCGGATTGTCGATGACGTTGCCCTCTTTGTCCAGCACCTGCATGCTCGGGATCGTGTTGAGGGTTAGAGCGATCGTCGATAGGACGATAAACAAGATCGATATCACAGCTATCACCTGCAATTGCATACCGAATCGTCATACACCTCCTGCTCAGCTCGTTAGAAATCGCTTCTTCCGGCGCCCGCTGCTCTTTTTCCTAAGCATCATCCATTGTTACTCTTTGCGAGCTCAATCTCATCTTTAGCTTTGGCTTTAGTTTAGGCACACCGTACCAACACCTCGTGTCAAATCTATTTACACAAACACGTACGCACGCATTCAAACCCAGACACACCCACACTCACACGTACACACTCAGTCAATTGTTATACAACCCGGATCGTCTACCCAAACACCTACAAACGCATGCCACGCTCTCAAGCGCACTTTCGCACGTGAACTTGCCTCGCGACCTTCGTGCTTTGAGACCGTTTGCACGTCAGAGCGCCATGAAGTTTTCCCCCTTCAAAAGACCCAACGTCCAAGGCATTATAATACTTTGTACACACGAGCACTTCTTGTACATATATACATATAGAGCACGATAATTGTTCCTCGCATTTGAGATTCCACGGCTTCGCGGAAATTACCCCTACTATATTCGCGGGCGCGTGCTAGATTTCTTATCGCGTTGTTTTTCTGCCAACCAATAGCTCGTCTTATAACGTCGTCGACATTGTGTATATGACTTAATCTGGATTCGTGCCGTTGCAAGCAAAGATTGCAAACTTGACATTTCTTCGATTTATCTTGGAGCTATGATTACCGTAGAATGAGAAAAAGATATTATCGATTTGATGTATTTACAAAGCATACTGTTAATCCAAAAATATGCTGTATGACAATTCAGACCTAGGTAGTTGAATAATGCTCACAAAATGAATTTTTTCCTAGAATTTATAATTGTCCACTCTACTTTTTTTTTTAACTTTCCAAGTACCATCATAATTATTATAAAAATATACAACCGTTTTTTACATGAATTGGATACGATATCTTTTCATCTCAACCGGCAAAGTTAGAAAATTCTTAAGCCAATTCAAGCGTAAATTATGAAAAAAAATGAAAATAGATTTTGTACAACTCATTTTAGATACTATCGCCTCGTCGATTTTGATGCTAAAACTTAAAACGCGTACCAAAGTATTACGCGCGCAGAGCACGAGGGTCGAAGGTTCAAATTCTAAGATGTCTCGGAGGGGATTTTCTCGTGCGTTTAGTCATTACTCACGGCTCGTAAAACAATTTTCGATGGAAAGGTTTTGTTTATACACGTGCGAGCCGAGACATCCTGTCGATATCGTTAATTCCACCTTGTTGATCTATCGTATTTTCACCCAAACATAGAGTAGTGACGAATAAAAATAAAATAAAATTCCATAAAGTATTCGTTGAAACAATCCGAATAACAAGGAGACAAAATACGTCGCGATCGATACGAATATAAAAGCGACCTAATGATGCGCACCGGATGGTATAAAAATCAACCGCTTTATTCATTTTTCGTACGATACGAGGCGTCCATAATACATTTCTCAAATGAATTGGTGACGACATTGCATTTTGAGTTGTCGAGCATACGTGATGTCGAAGCCAAGGAAAACACGATTTACGTCAAGGTGTCTTGGAATGATCATCTGAAATTCATGCACGTATCTTCTTTTTCTCGAGCTGAATATCTGAAATGGATCGATCCTTCGATCATGCAAGATAATTTTTCAGCCGATGTCTGCTCGTACTCATCAATGTACATTAGTTTTCTTGTATATTAACAGGACTGCACGGCAACTGTTTTCACATTTGTTTTCTTTCCTTTGGCTCTTGTTTTGCATTTATACATGCACTGCCGGGATGTTTTGATGTATCATTTTTCAGTCTTCTTTTTTCTACTTTGTTTGCGGTTTGACAAATAGGCACGCGATTGCGTTCGAATGAAGTGCCACACATACACATTCTGCCACAGTTGCCACGAGTTCTTTGCTATTATACCAGGAACTACTACGTTCGATAGTCACGTATTATATGTATCCACAGAAACTGCTGGAGTGTCATGTAATTCTTGGCTTATAAATATTTCCGATCGCATGAACTTTACTTTTCTTCCGAATGAGTAATACTTGTACAACAAGTTTAATTTTGTAATACATTCATTTTTTTTTGCCCAAAATTTTAACTCGAAATAAGTTTTGAATGAATTTTCATTTTATTGGATATCCCGTTTTTATAAAAATCTACTCGCTGCCTTTGGACGATAAGTCTCAGAACTTCTAATATGTATCCGAAATTCATAGAATCTTTCACAATGTACTATATTTTCCATTCATACGCGTTAAACATAACAAATAATAGAAAAAAATTCTACATACATACGATAGCAAAGCGCACACTTACACACCAAGTAAATGAGTAGGAAAATAGAAGTTATATATTTTTTTACAATTCTGAGTATCCCCACACGCACACTCGCACAAACACTTACATATTTATATAGTTCTATATATAGTACACGAATAGAGAGGTATGCACAAAAACAGAAATGCACATATTATAATAGTATCACACACAACATCATGTCACACACATTAAATGTCCGGCCTCAGAAACCCCGTTCCCACTTGCGCGGCTGGCGTACGTCTGTATGTGTCTATGCGCCTTACTTAATCATAACGCAGGCTTTACACATTGAATGCAACGTCGAAGTCTCCGGTAATTTATAACCACGAACGCGCGTCCGACTACGCTTAATTGATCGAGTTTTATTATTACGGATAAATATGGAGCCCTCGCGATGCACTAGACGCACACGTGAAGTTGCAAATAAACGCGCTCCACTGACTGCAAAAATCGATTTACCGTATAAACAAAAGAAACAGACTGAACCGCTGCTTGTCTCGCGCGCTCACTTTACGTTTACGTTTTGCGTTTATTTATGCACGGCCTCATGTACTTTGCTCGCGTTGCATATCGTGCCCTAGAGCCGCGTGAATGTGAGCTACTCTTCTTTATTCATTTTTTTTCTTTTTCGTTGCTACAATTTACGAAGAAGTGAATTATTACGCGGGATTCCACGAAAGCTCGTCGTGCGAATCTATAGGAGGGTGCATTGCGTTTATCATCGGTAATTCGACTTTTATCCAAGCTCGCGAGGGTAATTTATGCCTGAAATCGTCACTTCTGTCGTTTCAAACGCGAAACGTGAATACTAGTGTGTGCTTGTGTGCATTGTATCGGTGTTACTGCACAGCCGATGTAATATATCGATAAGAAAAGCTTCTAATCGCGCGGCCTACGCCGAGTTTATTTAAATATTCATTTTTAGCGGACAACGACCCGACACTGCCGTGTAAGTCAGTGTACGATATACACGACGCGGATCCGCTGTAAATTATAGCATCGCGCGAGCGTGCAAAGAAAGCCGAATCGATAAGTGTAAAAAAAAAATAAATAATTCACTCGACGAAATCTTTCAAATTTTCAAATGTACGCTCGGTCATTAAAAACAAATTTGGCAGTTAAGTAGCGTGAAAATATATATTCATTCGGCTTGGGCTTTAAGCGACGAGCGCCAGCGCGGAGTAAATTATGCGATGGATTTCATTTTGTGCGAACATCGGTGTGGTGGTGCAGTCGCGAGAGAGAGAGAGCTTTTTTTTCTTTCCCAGAGCACTCTGCAATCAGAGATGCCGCGCGCGTTGGCACACGAAACTCTTCCGCGATATAATATCTGGGTCAAATTCACCGCGCGTGAACGCGAGCATATATATATAACTGTGTAGATTTGTGCGAGTTAACGAGACTGAATTCTTCGAGAGTGCAGCTACTTTGGCGGGCGCTAAAGCCTCCCCCGGAGCTCCACTGGAGCCACGCTAATCATTCAAATATCTCGGCTTTATGCGTCCGCGAGTCGAAAATCAGCCGATCGAACGAGCTGCTGAAACGATGTGTTTTTTTGCCTCTGCTGTTATAGAAAACCGATATATACCCTCGCGTATAAGAGAGAACGACGAACGCACTGAATGTCAAGTATGTGTACGCGCGAGCTTATCGCGGATGAAATATTTCTGACCTCAAGGAAGGTCGTACACCGAGAGTGCCGGTTATTCTAAAGTATTTCATATACAAATTCCGATAATAATACTCAAACCAAATAATAATTCCGGCAATACCGCAGCCGACGGTAACAAGTTTGAATGATAATTTCACAGTGACGCAGTCGTAGACGCGATCGATTCGCGTACGGTTCCTCGCAAGCTCCGCGACACGTCGCACACAGACGCACACAAACGCACACGTCGTTTGTATTTGGTAGCGTTAAGTTGGCGCGGGAACGGTGCCTAGAGGCCGGACCGACGCAGCAGATATTAAAAAGTGATGCCTGGTAGTCGCGTTTGGACATTTCCACCATTATCATATATATATTGTTCATATATGTATATGAGAATATTATATGTTTAATTATATAAAATGCTTAGTTTCATTTCGTACTCGTATCAGTCAAGCTGCTGTGTAAAAAAGAACAACAATGCATCTGTCAATTATAGCCGTCATATGTAAAGGTATATCAAATAACATCTATAGCGTTAAAACATTATTATAAATATATAGTCATCCTTTATAGTTATTATAAAAGGTATTGAAAGTTTATAGATATTTTATCATAAATATGTATAGATAAATTGAAAGGATAAATCAAACACACACATAAAAAAGAGATTGCATGCACATGCAACAGATTCAAATTTAACTAAAAACTACACGTAGTTGAACTTTTTTTCGTAAGACATATTGAGGCATCAAAGTGCACATTAATTTTCACAAAAATTTCAAATTACGATCGAGAATGCTAATAAAAAGTGAAGTTTAAAATCAAATTTTTTTAACGATGGAAGATTGAACCATTATAAAGTGACCTAAAATATTTTAGACTTCGAATGAAAGGTTTTTTATCAAAAACATTTAGACCTTTAAATTAAGACTATAATCTCTAGTACTATTTTATGTTTTAACGATTTTATGTCTAATCCTTGTTGTTGCATTGAAAAATAATACTTTTTCACTACGTGTAATTTTATCGCTACAAAAAAAATGGAAAAAATTTGAACGTTAGTCTAATAAAAAACAAGGTATTTGAAAAACTTTAAAGATTATAAATTCAAAAAAGAACAGCTGTGTTTGTACTACTCTCACTATATTTCAAAGTTTTACAACAAAAATATAAAAATCAAAAAAAAACTATGAATTCAAATTTAAAGATAACCATTCTTCTATGGAAGTAACCTTTATGAGAAATTGACGTTGTAGGTGTAAATATCGATCATGAAAGGTTCGGTATAGTCGTTTTCACACATATATGTATGAAAATGTATAGGCGTGTGGACTTGAGAGGATCGTTACTGAACTGATCACTTGTTCGCTGCGGCCTACTCTATCTGTACATGGTATTAAGTGCGTCAGGCTGAGCACATTGTAGATTCAGAAGTTTACTACGTAGAGCTTGTCTGTTCTATTACAGACAATGCTACACGATTAGAGTAGTTTCTACTCTACTTTGACCGAAATAATTGTACAACATTTGAATATGAAATTGATAAAACTTTATTGAACGAGAAGTGGCTGTATAGACGATTTAAACATATTTTCGACAAGATAAGCTTCATTGAAAGCCCCTTTGAAAGAAAAACTTTTACTCGACCGAAATTGAGGTTTTCTTTTTAAAATTGGTGTAAGATTGATTCTGACTCCTAAATTTAATTATCTGTCCTTGATTGATTTTTTTACGTTATAAAACGTAACACATTTCATTGGGCCAATAGAATATAAGCATTTGAAAAGATTAAAATACGATAGTTCATAGTTGGTTTGGCTTTTATGCGATTAATTTCAGAAAAATAACTTATTGGAATTTCTTATGAGCACGACTTATAAGGATATTAACGATATCTTATGGAAATTATAAAAGAACTACCTTACTTTGTGCAGTATAATCGTTGACTCTCTCAAAGAATACAACCGAAAACAAGAAAATCTTCACACGCATTTCGCCTTCGCATCTTTATTGCATTTTTTCCAAATACCAAAGTAATTTGCGTTAAGAAATCGCCAACTAATGCAAGAGCAAGATCGTAAATTTTGCCTTTGAGCGATATTTCACTCGACATTTAATTAACGCTGCGTAGTTAATTCATCGTTACGATGTTTAACGACCAAAACATCGCATGAATAGCACCGCATAATTTATTGTACCGTACTTATTGGTAAGGAAATTTGTCTTTTTTTAACACGTACCAATTGACCCTACTTTACGATCATATGATATCACAGACTAGTTAACTTTTTAATTGAGAGAAGTACAGTAATGAACAATCGCAGGCTTTTCCGTAATCAACACTAAGTTTTTCTTTTTAATTATTTCTTATTATGATATGGCTACATGCTTATATTTTATCTAATTTTAATATGAGAGCCTCACTCCCACTTTCTCATTTCAAATGAATTTTCAAAGGAAATGTACACATTTTTTTAAAATTAAACTCATGAAATTGGTTTTCCTTTGAAAAAAGATTCCTGATGAAGTTTTCATTTAATAATTTAATCATGTTGTTAGCTTCGGTTTTGTAATATTTTGCATTGACTTTAATAAAAAGCTGTTTCAAAAATAAATTTTCGCAATTTATAAGTAATCTCACATGATGCATTATGGTTTTATAATAAAAAGACATCAATTAATTGAAAATATAATTAAAAACTCAACAAAATTATAGGAGTCAAAAAAATATATTTAGAGATTCATCAGGCAGGAGCGACCCAATTCCTGTTTTACGGATTCGTTAAAAATATGTTGTACCTTTATTTCGAAATTTAATTTGTAATTATACTTTACAAGAGCGAGGCATTATGAAAGCGAGGCTTACATTTTATCATAATAAATTAAAGTAGACGGAATACAAGCACGTCGCTATGATTGAATGCAATTGCTTGCGTCTGCGCGCAAGCACCGCAGCGACCCACGCATGCCATCCCAACTCAAACACGAAATTGCACAAACTTGTTATATTGTAGCCACTCTAACGAAATAACATTATGGGAAAAAAGAAGTTGGAAACAAAGAAACAAATTTTACGATCTCTCTTACTTGCACCCTTCAATTGCAACAGAGCTTCGATGATACATTTTTTTTCGTCGGAATTGAGGGAATATACCGTGAAATGGATCAGAACTTATCCTTGAATTATTATTGGATGTTTCAGTTCTAAAAGTAGTTCATAATCAAGAAATTATTTGTTCTCGAAGCGACTGCAAAAGTTTTTATACGAAACCGATGACGCCCACGTTGCAAGTTGCTGTTCAAGGCTGATCATGCAAATGCTTCCCTCGGTATGTACAAATGGGAATGCCATCATATCCGATACCCCCTTGAATGCGTGAAAATAAGTGTAACGTTCTTGCTAAGTACTCGGTAATGTGATTAATGAAACGAACGTGTGCTCGGAGCACATGAGACTATTAAAACCTTCTACTGGCATAGTATACATGTATACTTTCAAACTTTAACTCATATGGCATGCTACACTGCTTTTATATTACTTTGATACTATCTAATTACTTATTCTTGGGCCTGTGTTTTATCTTGCACACATTTTCAACGCTTTAAATCAACTATGAACTTGGTACGTATATGTACATGTGCATACGTCTGATGCTCTCCTTCTTTCGTGCTCTAGAAAAACTTTGATGCTTTTAATCAACTCATTTGATAAGTAATCGTTAGTTCAACTTTATTGCTTAACTGCTAGCTTCAAATATATAATAAAACGAAGCATCATGTTAAGAGCATGCAAAGTAAAAAATTTCATATCAGTTTAAATAGATGCTTTAATAATTTTATATTTGATCATTCTTGAAGATTGTTGAGATACCATAAAAAACACTATAAATCATAAATAAAAGATTTCAGTTACTCATGGATTGCATTAGACGTATTTCTCTTAAAATATATAATCAATTCTGAACAGAAAACTTGTCCTAACTAGCAACCTATTATATTGTACCTTAGATTAGGTATCGAGAGTCCTGATGAAACTGTAAAAATATACGTTTTTTCAATATTTATTATAAAACCAATTTTAGAAATGTATTTGAAGGTCGATTTGATGTTATTCGTACATATTCTGACTTTGCGAGGTGTAAAACTATAGAAATTGGAACGATTATGAATTACGTTTATTCATGAAAACCTGTTTTTTTATGCTAAATGAGAAATACAATTTTTAACAAAACAATCATCATTTTATATTGTGCCAACACCAAAAAGTTGTAATAGAGATTCAAAGGAACGTGACTTCTGCGCAGTGAATGCATGCAAACAGGGCGAACTTTCGTGAAAATATATTAGGCACCTGTTACAGCCACATATGCAGCACCATTTAGCCACGAGAATATTTACATCGTTCATTTGCCTTCATAAACCCGAGAATAGTTTTAAACATGAATATACATCAGCATTAAATTTTTTCTTGTTCAACGAAAAAAAGACCAGAGTACTTAGATAAAAGGTAAATTTTAATATTTAACCTTGTAAACAAACAGTTTCAAGCTTTATTTTTCTAGAAAGAAAATGATTAATTTCAAGAAAGAACAAGATGAAAGAAGCCCACGTAACTGTAGTTATGTTGACGCGTTATTTTAAAACGGAAAATATTAAAAGCTTTTTGTCGCTCAAAGCGTCAGAAGTGTACAACATGTATTGTAGGTATAATCTAAAGAGTAAAAAGACAACAGAGACCATTAAGCGTCGTTATAGAGCCAAGGCTGTAAGTATAGGTATATTTATATGCACATATTCTTGAGCAACAATACGAGACAATATTATACCGAATCGTACACGATATGTATAAACTTGCAAACACCTATCGAGCAGCCATTAAACAAAACCCGGTAACCCAATCTACTACAGAGCGATCCAGTCATTCCGGAGAGTATAGAGTGGAAAAGATACACAGGCGCCACAGGTCATTCAAATGCCACATATATATTCTATATGGTTAACTGATGGATTGTGTAGAGAGATATATTACAAGAGAAAAAGATTGAAGAGATAAATTCAGTGATAAAAGAGACACACGGTCGCGTGGTACGAGTGGAAAAATCGGTTGAAAAAAAAAAAAAAAAAATAGAAAAAAAAAAGAATAACACAAAGGAGAAAAGGTGTGTGTCGTATAGAGGGAGATGGATGAACTCACCCTGGCAGCGATGGAAGTGGTCGGCTTCTCGAGCAGGTCCCAGAGGTACTTCTGATACTGGGCGCACTTGCCGTCGCCAAAGTCCTCCTCGTCACGTTGCCTCAGTGACTCGGCCTCCTTGCGCATCTCCTCGTGCACGTGCTCCTTGCGCTGATGGTACTTGTGCTGGCAGCAGCTCTCCAGGTAGAGCTCGTCGACGCCCCAGTACTCGAGGTCGTCGCTGAAGGCCAGCACGCACATCTCGTCGACGATGTGCAGCTTGCCCGTGCGATAAAAGTTGAGGATCGAGCTGAAGGACTTGGGGTGGCGGTCGAAGAAGTACTCGTTGTCGATGAGCGAGTAATCGTCGCAGATCTCGGTGATGGCCTCGTGGGTGTTGCAGTCGCGCAGACGGCCGAGCCGGGTGTGCGGCAGCCGCTCGAGGGTGCGCCAGAGCACCTCGTGCTTCACGCCGCCGACGTTGATGCTGACCCGGCGATTGAGTGCCTTGGAGCGCATTATCATGAACGGCTCGGGCGGCAGCGAGCTCATCGACTGCGAGAAGCCCGCGGGCTGCAGCTCGAGCGGCAGCGGGGCGGGGGGCGGCGACGACATCGGCAGCGCCGTCGGACTCGCGTAGCGCACCTCCTTTGGCCCTGCCTGGCCTTGCTGCTGACCCTGCTGTTGCTGCGACTGCTCGCGGTCCTTGTTGGCGGCGACCGCGGCAGCCGCGGCTAGCAGAGCCGCTCCGCCAGGGAACAGCGAGACGGCTGCCCCCGGCCCCGCGCCACCGACCACGTCGAAGCCGAAGGCTGACTGCTGCTGCTGCTGGCATTGCTGCTGCTGTTGCTGCTGCTGATTGCTGCCGTTCCCGTTACGATCCGGCTCGACGCCCGGCCCGGCGACGTCCTCTAATGCGCCACCACCTCCAGCCACCACCGGCCCACCACCACCTGCACCGTCACCGCCACCGTATTTCGTTGTAGTCGTCGTCTTGCTGTCCTTGAGCATCGGTCGTGCCCCCCCGCTGGCAGAGGCCGCCTCCTTCTACTGCTTGCTCCGAGGCCGCCACCGCCTCCGCTTAGGCTAACCCTTTCCCGCTGTCCCCCCTTCGTCTCCCCTCCTCCTCCTCCTGCGTCCGTCGATCCTCGACGTCGTCGTCTTCGTAGTCGAAGCTCGATCTTCGCAGCCGTCAGCTTCGAATCGGCTCCGCGCCCTGGACTGCTGCTCTCTCGGCGCCGCTAGCGCCTCATCCCCGATGCTGAAGCGCTCGGGCCTCTTTGCTGCTGTTGCTTATTCGATTTCTGCTTCCGCGATCGCTGTTGCTCGACTCCGACGACTGACGCCGTTTTATCGGGCTCCAAAAGCTCCGCGATGTCTTCATAATAAGCTGCAATCATGGCAAAAAGAAATACTTTTTTAATTCGTCCGTTATTTACCAAAAAAAACTGTATTCGTGACGCGAATAATAAAGCCACATAAATAACTAAAATATTTTGCTCATCAAAAATCATAGCATGTAGGAGAGAGCTATGAAAAATGATCGTATAAAATGTGGCTCGCACTGACGACAGACTTTTTTCTAGTAGAATCTATATATTACATAGGTGAATTTCCACTGAAATTTGCACCTAAATAGGTTTTCAAGTGAACGAATTCGCAGCAGGATTTTTTTTCTAATCCATACTGCAGAGAAAATTAGATTTCCACTTGCTACGTCAACAAACGTCGGGAGAGAAATACTTTTTTCAATTTTCCAACTTATAGAAATAAAAATTGAACTTTTATTAATATTACCGTACGAATTGGTGCGTTGAAAATTTAGAAAATTGTGTACTAATCATGAATGGTTATTGTATTTTGATTTTCATTTGTATGCTGGCTTACACTCCAAAATATGTAGAGCTTATACCAAAATTTCATTTTGATAAGTTGTAAACATTACTACATAAAAAAAATAAATATTCTAAAAAGTTTAATACCATAGTTTGTATTTCATAATTGTCAGTAGCACAAGAAGAAAAAAGGAGGTTTTCATGCAAATACTAATAAATAAAACCGACATGTGTTTTTATTTCAAGAACTTCCATACTTCTTATTGAGAATTTTTATGACCAGCGATAAAGTCTCTTTAATGCATCTGACTCTGCATAAAAGAATAAACTTCATTTTTACTCTCTCGTTTAATTTCATTTGTAAGAATATTCAAATCAATAAACTGCATTTCTTTTTTCCATTACTTTCATGAGCTTGGTAGTATCGTACCCAATCTAAATCCCTATTATCTGAGCTAGCGAGCTCACTATTTCTCTCTCCTGACTTTATTTTTTTGCTTCTTGGTTTAATGTAATTTGAAACACACACATCGCGTCGGCGGAAATATATCACGTGTAGCATTCACATTTCTATAATACCGACGCTCGAGCTTTGCTTGCTGCGCGTAGAAGAAAAATAAGTAATTTATTTCAGGGGACATGCTGGTAGTATATTACACCTGGCGTACAATTTCGCACAGATCTGTTCTCTGACGCGAACAATTTTTATTTAATTTCATGGAGATGTTCTAAATAAAATCTGTACACCGAATTCAATTTTTAGTGAATAATTAATACTCCGAGTTTTCGTGGAGCTTAAACCGGAGGGAATAAATTTTTTTTTCCTGCATCGCCCAAGTTTACAAAATAGAGCAAACAAAAAAAGTTTCGAAAATTAATATCGACTCGGGAGAAATATTTGGCCGAATTTCAATGCTTTCCTGACCTATTATTTTTGTAACGACTCCAGAGAACTTATATCTGTTTTCGCGCTTTAAACAAACGGCTAGATAATCGGAAATAACATACATATCACCTCCACGTGAGATAAAGCTTGATAAATCACCGGAACGCGCATGATTTTTGTAATGTGCAGCATTTTTCCCTGGTATCGATTTTCGTCGTTCATATTTTAAATAACTTTTTACGAATGGATTTTTGTAATACGCTTATAAATTTAAAAATCAATTCTTTTTCACCGAGATAGCCCAAAGTTCAGCTCGACAATAATTGCCATTTTATCGTAATTACGTTCAAGCTAAATTGCTTCAACCCCATGAAGCATCGGAGAAGCTCGTAATACTGCAAAGCTCGCCAGTTCGTGCGTTGCTGTAAATCGTCTGCGTTTTTTTTATGCGATAGCAAGTCATTGAGAAAACATTGGTAATGCTGAATACAGCTCTTGTGTGCAATAAACGCCCCCTTGAACAAACTTGTGGTTCGTGTTTGGAATCCAAGATCGATCTTTCTCCCTTCTTTTGAATTCAGCACTATGTATATAGCAGCTTCCGACGGATCGAGATCGTGAAATCATTTAAGTACATCCATAATAGCAGTAGTTACAAACGCGGATTTAATAAAAGAAAGTTAAAATGTCAATATGTGTTAGATTAAACCACAGGATAGCCCTTTTCTGTGGTTATGCTGCAATGTGGTCAGAGAGCCGAGAGAAAGTGCGGACAATTACGTAAAAGCAATATTGCAGATATCCAGTAGCGCAACGACAAGTGAATCTGTGTCTCGGTGCCCAGAGCTCGGTACACCGATTTTGTACATGCTACGAAATTTGAATAACTGCCAAACTAGTACTATGAATGTCAGTAAAATTGTAAAGAGCAAAAGAAAAAAAAGGAGAAGAGTTTGCAAAGCCGGTGGAGAAACCTATTTAATTTTTTATTGTTTCTGAGTGCGTGGATAATCAAAGAACTCATGGAAAGGACTGCTAAAAAAATGTTTCGGAGCTTTACCCCTTTCAATCAATTCTTCTCTTTATTTCTCTCGATGCATGAAAACAAAATAAAGGAGAGCATAATCTAACTGGAGTGGTTAGTTATACCATAGCAGAATAAACACTCATTTTCACGTGAAACACGATCGAGAACAGCAAACTTTGTTACTTTTTTGAATTGATACTTGAAGAGTTAAACATTTACTTTACGAGTAAAAGACGAATTGCTCACGAGGATTTTTGATGGGGTGTTCGGACATTTAAACCAATCTTTCGACTCATCATTAAAATTAATTTTTGTAAATTCGTGGGTAACGAAACAATTAAAGAAAATAATTTTCAATCATAGTAAAAACAATCACATTCAATAAATTTACAATTTTCTCGGTTTATGGCGGTTTTTTGTTTTTTTTTCGCTCTTTTGACTTTTTTGACTCTGGAAAAGGGTGTTGAACGTTCCCAAAAAGTATAATAAAATCTGAGGACAAGTATGGTATCAAAAACGACAAATTTTTTATGACACCAAAAATAAAAATTTATTCTCTATTCAATTTTACAAAGAATTGGACGTATACTTTGATATTTAATGTAACTGAATCCGGAGTAGAAGTATTTTAGCGAAAGTTTGCTGATTTTCGGTTTTTCTATCTTCAACGTATCGAGTAGCAACCGCAAAGCTTTGAAACGAAGTTTTTGCGGTCGAACAATTTATGTACTTCAGTAAAAACTTCTATTTGACTGCAATGTATCACACAATCCATTTTATTTTGAGTTGATAGAAGGATTTACACGATGAATGATTATTGAAAACATTATGACGTAAAGTACAAGCGACTTAAGTACATCTTCAGATCAGATTCTTACATAATATCACATAATAGTGCAAATTATGTCTATTTTCTTTGAAAATCGCCATTTCAACGTCTTCTCTTTCATTCTCGTTGCATTTAGAAACTTGAAAGCTCTCATTCCTCTGTTTTTGTTTCTGTCTTTACCTTCGTCATTCAGAATACTTATATGCATTCTCGTCGTGACGCAACTGCGTCATCGTCACACACAACCCTTGTTATTATCACGGTACATTCAACGCATTTAATTTTTTTCCTTTTAAACCACACCTAATTTTCTTTGTCGCTCGATAAATTGCGTTGCCGCAGGGCAATGTCTATTTTGCATCATTGTAACTATGTCTCGTCGATCCACTTTTCCATGTTTCTACCTTGTATCGATCGATACAATAAAGTGTTTCCGTATCATCATTATATTGTCGTCGTATTCAGCTGTTTTGGTTACATCATTATGCAGAAATTTGCAACGATCCTAGTTACCACAACGTATACTAGATTTTGCAGGGCGTATTAATGCAAGTCCCAAATGAATTGCGTAAGAAACTACTCGGGTACGTGGCTTGTTACGTCAAAGTATACGCCTCCCGCATGAACAATCAATACTCTTTCAACGAACTTGAAGCTTTAATTATTCATCGTAGAGTTTCGTTGATTAATCACTTACATTATCATTTGGTTGTTGCCACAACATAATTCGATGACTTTCTCGTGTATGTAAATGTACCGCACGAAATACATCAAGTCAACGTTCACGCGATACTTTTTCGTCAAATGCTCTACAGGCAGTGCTCAAAGTTCAGAGTGAGCTTAAACTTTTAATTATGTAACAAATAATAATGTAAACTTGCTTCTGCTAGTTTGATGTTATAAGCCAGGCTTTTTGAATACGATCCACGACTTTAATTAAAATCGAAAGCGATTGACAACTCGTTGCAATGAAATTTGAAAAAAAAAATTGAATATTTCAGAACTGCATATTTTATTGGGTGAGAAAGTGAATCAACATTGACGTTTTATTCGTAAATTAATGTATATTTACAATACGCAGATAAATAATATCGAGTATGCAGACCTGATAAAAGCATTCCAGGGCGCTATTTCAATGTTGATAATTTAATAGCCCTCTAAATGCATAGGAAATAGAAATGTCATATTTTATTCATGCGGTGACACAGATCGTAAAAAAGAAACTATTATTCTTGTAGCCCCGCGCTCGATGCCGCGGCTGTTGCCGCTATGTACGTAGAGATATTTTTAAGCTCGCGCAAAAGTTTTTCTTCAAGCAGCCCGATTTGATTTATTAAAATATTAAATCAAGAGGCGCATCAATAACACGGCGAGCTCGAGCTTGTGTGAGCGCGGGGCACACACGTATTATATACACGAGCGCACGCTCGGCTACACACGCGAGGCAAATATTTTTGTACAAAGTCTAAGTTTAGCGGAACACACTCAGTCGCCGTGACAGTGCCCGCGCGCAGCGGGCGCATGGCACCAGCCGCGAATCTACGCGGCACAGCTGACGCGCGACGGTCCTTCAACTTGAAAAAACGAGAGCCGAGCAGTCAGCACAGCTCGCGGTGAAAATTGTCACGGTGCAACGAAGCAAAGAAGGTAGCCCGCGAGCGGAGGAGTATGAATTGAAACGATATGCATGTAATCCGGCCAAGAGGAAGTCATCGCATTGTTCGTAATTAGGGCATTCGATCCACGAGAGTGTGAGCGCGGCGTACACGCGTCGCGCGTAACACAGCGCTCGTAGCAGCAGCAGCAGCAACAC